TATACAAATTAAGCATTGTCCTTGGTACTCTGGAACAGGATGAACCTCTTTTCCTACCTTGTTTCCTTTGTTGAGAAAGCACTGAGCATGTAATTGTCACCTCTAGGAAGGACAAATGGTTTAAGTGAAGAGTTTCTGCAAAACGTAGCAAAACCCGAAGAAAACTAAATCTGTAAGCATTCATTCAAGCTCACTATAAAGCAAACAAAACTAATGACACATCAAGAACATAGACACACAAAAAGGCAAATTCCCGCAATAACGACTCTGGTTTAGCTTGCTAACCCAATGGCTCCCTCTGCAGGGTGACACACCTTCTCAGGATATAAAATAGTTTTGCTATGTAACTGATGTATATCTCAAGCTGTTTCCACAGGAAGATGACATATTCTTGGGATCAGTGAATCCCTTGTGTTCAGATACCATTTTGTTTTATGTGCAAAATAAATGTATGATATATTAGATTTAAAGTACACACTGTCTCACTTGAACATCATTCTCTCAAAAATTTCTGTATGTACCTGTTCAGTCCCTTATCCCACTGCTAAATCAATGACTTCATGAACCTCCTTGCAATCTGACAGAGATATCAAATATATTATGCTTCCCTCTTTACTTAGCAGAGTCATCACACTTGAGCCTTTCTGTTAGAAAAGAATACAATCTTGACGAAAGAATGTTAAAACTTATTATAAAAAATACCCAGAAAATAATAAGAACATGAAAGAGACTTCACTCAGAAAAACAACAGTGCTTTGCTAGTCTGAAAATTCTATTTCTARTAACAATAAATGTCTAGATAAAGAAAGGAAAGCATGGTTACCGAACTTTCTGATAATTGACATTTTCAATGAAATTTCTGTTGCTATTCATTAGCTTTCAGAGAAAGACACGATCATTTATATGCTTCTTTGTAGTGTTTCAAGGACCATTTATTAGGGGTTGATGTTCAAAAGCTAAGGCTGAGACGTACTGTTCCTGGGAAACATTCTGTCCACTTTAGGTAGCAACATGTCCTTTTCTAATCATTAATTTCTCATTCACCTTGGAAATTGGCAGTGTATGGCCTCCTAAATTTCTTCTAAAAGCTGAGTGTCTCTTACAATGCCTTTGTCTAGACATATAAAACATAGTTAGAGAAAACTCAAAATAAATACCATTATTATTCTATCACACCTTATTGCAGCACTAGGTACTAATAAGCTGTTTCAAAAGAGTTGTTGAAGCAAATGCTCCCCACTGTCAGTACATTTCAAAGTAATTCTCTGGACACCAGACATGCTATTTAAAATATGTATTTAATGTATTATATGTATTTAAATACATCTAATATTCATGAGTTGGACTATTTTGTGTAGCCATAAATAGATATATTACTCGAAGAATTTATTTACTGAGCATCTCTAGATACTTTTATATACTCTTAAACATTCTAAGAATGTATTAGTCATATAGCTACTATCATCTCCTCGTATAGAAAAAAAAGTAGGCATTTTTCTAGTGGTTTTGAAAAGAAAATAATGTCTTCCTACAATTTTTTTTCTTGAATCCTGTCCCACTAGCCCCTCATTTAGAAGCTTTCAGCAAACTGAGAAACTGGAAGCCATACATATCTCTGTGGATTGTAAAGTTGCACCGATTTCTGATAGGTTCAAATAAACGCTTACAACTATCTCTATAAAGCCACAAATCATGATTAATGTGACACTGGGGTATAAACTGGTATTGTGTGATATACATAGATGCTGTACTAACACAACCTACCCAAAATGACTTTTAAGCTCAGTGCTGAAAGGGTTCAGAAGCAGACAAAAGTCCTGTTTTGCATTTTACCTCAAGGAGGATAATTAGAATTCATGTTCAAGAGCCCACAAGCATACTTTGAACTCTCCTTAGATCCAGCCAGCAGACATATTTTTCAAAGGATGCTAGAATAAATGTATATTTGGCATAAGGAAGGAAACCCCTGCCCAGTTGTGTAAGGATGTCTTACTGAAGGCTTCAACATGCCTKAGAAAAGAATAATTGCAGATGGAATTTGCACTGACACTGTTCTAGATATCAGCTGTGGCTCATCCATGTACTCAATACTCAACTCACACCAACACAGAAAATCAAATGAAAGGCAGTGTATTGAGGGCATATTGTTGCAAGTAAATTAAACCATGAACACAATGGGATACGTGAGGATGAAGAGTATTTTCTCATTATTGTCTCAGATCCATCCATTACAGAAACAACATCCCATTTTAGTTGCACCTGGAAGCTCACATAATAGAAATTCAGTTAATACAAATAAATAAGAGGGTGGCAGAAAGCCCATTAAGTGAGGTTTAATAATTCTATGCTATATCCTGGCCTCAGTCTCAATCATTTATCTGTGAAGATAGACTGGTGAAAACCAGCCTGGCTAATCGATACAAATACGCTTTATTTCTCCACACAGCAGACTTCAGGCTGTTTTGAGAAGTAACAGATGGAGTTTTACCTTCAGTTGGAGAAAGTTTCAGCAAGGCAAAAAATTGATTTAGAAGCACTTTAATATGCTGCTCCAGCACCATGCCTACATAATCTCTATAACCAGCCTGCCTGGCTGGATTCTCCAGAATGTGCAAAGACAAGATCCTCAAATTACCACTATGAAAAACCCGGCTTCCCATTAGTTACAAATACCTTTTTCCTATAATTTTTCAAAGACAGAAGTATATGCAGTATAAACAAAATATAATAGACATGAAACAGTAAATCTTCCCAAATGCAGAGGAAACGTGTAAGGAAAAGCAGTATTTAGGAGGCCAGGCTCATTCTTGAATCAGCAGGCAGCGGACTGAGCAAGCCACACGAGGGAGCGCAAACACTGTTGGAAAATGCAAAGAAACGCGGGGGAAAAGGGCTAGGGCCAGGCAGCGCTTGATGCAGAGTCTGTTGCTCATAACGCGCATTCTAATTTGTATTAAAAATCAATTTAATTTTCTCGTCAGATTTAATGCGTTACAAGTTTTTCTTCAATACTAATCTGGTCAGGAGAGAGCAAGAAAAAAGCATTCTTTATGCTTGAGCTGGATAAATGGAATGCAGAGCCAGGTCAGAGAAGCGGGCAAGGCAGACTTGGGAATCAGGCAAATGGAACTAAAAGGCTGCACCTCTTACCTGCGGCAGAAAAAAAATAAAAAGGAGGTCAGCTGTGCACTTCTGCCTCCTGCTTTTGATCCCGCTTTTGCTGCCACCGAAGGAGGGACAGGGGCATGTGCAAGGGCCAGTCCTACCCAAAAGGGGCACCTACTGCTAACATCTAGCAGCAGCCCAAACAGGCACTCCCACCCTCTCGGACTGTTCCAGCCTCACCCTACTTCTTTTTCCTTTCATGAGAGACAACAAATAATGCACCTTAAGGGTGATRACATAGGCTGTCAAAATAAATACCTGACTGAAGATATTTTCAAACTRAAATGTTTGCATGTGCATCAAATACAAGTTTCTGAATTCTTCCACCATCATAGCCAGATTTTTCTCATCTCTAATCTCTGGATATTAGACAGTCAAATTCTGTTATTGAGCTGAAAGTGATTTATATAAGCCGAGGATAAATGTATTCTTAAGAGCTGTTCTTTCTGGGTGGTTTAGCAGAGTATAGTGGTTGCATATCCATTTCACTTAGCTGATGCAGTATTTAGCAGGAAACAGCAGCAGGAGACCAATGCTATGCAGAGGGCAAGACCAAAACAGGTATGCTTGTGAATACTGATCTCCTGAGTGATGTAATCATTGTGATAAAAAAATATCTTAGTAGTATAAGGCCCAACTCTTCTGCATGAACTTAGATACATTCAGCACAAATCTAGTTTCTTCTGGGAGCTGAAAAAAGAGGAAGGTCACATGGCTGTGGAGGTCACATGCCTCCATGGGATCCAGCAGAGCAGCAGAAGACCTGGCACTGGTAGGTCTTTGGGCACAGCTTCAGGATTCACGACTGCATCAAAACCCAGGTAYGAGCGCGGATCCCTTACCCAGGATGAAGGAGATGCTGAAATGYCTCCCAGCAGAGTCTTGGCACACCAGGTGCTGGGAGGCAACAAATCAACTGGGGCTTCTGCACTTGCAGATTAAAAATGGTATTCCAGCCAAATAATTGTATGTATTTTTCTAGTAATGCATGAAATCAGTGAAATATCCTTAAGTGAAATTAATTGGCTCTGAGGTTTTCCCAGTAGTCACCACACATGTGATTTCCCTTTGCATGACAAGATCATGAAAGTTCTTATCAAGTAGTTTATTTAAAATCTTCATTACTTATATAYCCTGCTCATCTCTTCCTGTCCTTCTGTCCTTCACATTTCTCCTTCTCCTCTTTCTTAGTCTGCAGTTCTGTTACTTAATGAACAACCAATGGTTCAAACACTAATTCTAACCATCTTCTACTGCCKGTAATGGGAAAGAAAGGTCCAACGTAAGTTTTTCCATCTACACTGTAATAAATTATCCAGTTGTGGCAACCCCAGAATAGATGAGTGACTTGCAAATTTTAAAAAAAATGTTTAAAAATTGTGAATCACCTGGTGCTACTCAAAGACTGTTACAATACTTAAATTCTGTATAAGGGTGTGAATTTTGTAACTGTGCTACAGTAAGAGCAGAAAATAGTTATGTTTAAAAGATAAGCAAATAGGACTGCAGAACGGTAAGTTCACACTTAAAAAGGTAATGCCAGCCTATAAGAACAAGTTAYCTCCATTAGTTCACAAAACTTATAAACTCAGGCCACAGATTCAGCCTACAGCTCCAGGGACACTTGAAAAGGTATTGCAAGGGCATCCAATGTTGGCAGGGTGCCAACATTGCCAGCTCCACACTTTTGAATCTCTGTCCCCTATAGCAATGAGGACCTCTGCCATAGTGCCAAGCTGCCATTAGGGTTAGGGTTGAGAGAGTTGAAGAACCTTGAGCTCCAGGAACACTGGGGCTGGAAAAGGCATGSCAAGGYAATCCCAGCCAGGCACCAACTTTGTCGCTCCTACATCTTTCTARTCTGGACCACCCATGGTGCTAGGGACCTCAGTCCCAGCAACAAGAATAAAGGATGTTCATTTAATTTCATTAAATGAAGAATGAAGAATTTTCATTGGATTTGAGGAATGGAAATGAAATCTTGAGGTRTAAACGAGTATAATTTTATGAAGTTTCAGCTCATTTCACTGCACTGTAATTCATTCTATTCCATTTTATTGTTTTCAATTCACTTCAGAATTTTCATTTTTTCAAATTAGTTCTCTCGTATTTTCTTTCCTTGCCATTCATTTCACTTCATTCTTTGATTCTCTTTTGGTATTTTCCATTTATTCATTTTTATTTCCTTTTATTTTAATTTAAACTCATTCCTGGGTTTCTCATTTCAGAAAATGAAAATACTTGCTTTCATGAAAAGAAACAAAATCTCATTATTTGAATTAGCATCATTTCATAAAGTTTCATCTCATTTCACTGCATTTCATTTCATTCCACTGAATTTCAAAAGTTTAACTTCTCCTAAGATTTTTTTTTTTTCAGTTAGATTTCCTTATATTTCTTTTCCTKTCTTTTCATTTMACTTCATTCCTTGATTTCTCAATTAATTTTCTTTTATGACATGAAAATTCTTCATGTCATGAAAGGAAATCTTGAGATCTTGATTTCAATGAAAATCATTTCATGAAGTTTCAGCTCATTTCACTGCTCTTCACATGGAGTAGCTAAGTTTACCACAGCTTCCAGTATTTAGTTTTCATAAATTCACAGTTTACGTAATTTTCAGAGTGGCAAATACATTGTACATCAATTATTGAAAAATCACATAATGTTATTGTTAGTTACTCAAAAATTACCTTCATAAATCTGAACAGTGGGTAGKTTGTAAAGAGAAACTCTATACTTGCTCTTTACAAAGGTCAACTTAAATACTATTGTTTTCTCAGTTTCTAGTCCTCTCCTTCAAGCTGTATCCAAAAAGCAACGATATCAAACCATCTCCTAGTTGGTGGGGAAGAAATATTTCACTAAGAACAAAATTATATAAATAAGGTCCATTTAATTATTCAGTGAAGGCTCAATATACAGAAAACATTAAAGTACCAAAAGTCCTGAATGACAATCATCAAATATGCTTTAACAAAATTCAGAGTAAAGACATCTATCAACAATTTTAGCAGAGATTTCCATACTGTGATCAAAAGTAAACTGCTTGGAGAGCTTCAGATGCTGAATCCCTTTAGCATTTCACTGCTTCAGAATGTGGTTTCCTTTGGCAGCCCACACACACTGCCACTGAAAACAGCCTCCACAGTCTACTGGCTGAAATCCATCTCATTCTCATGTCTCTTCAGCTCATCCCTGTAATGGCTTTACTTGGATGACATTTACTTTTGTCTCATTGTGTTTACTGCTGTCATCTATTTGCTCAGTGTCATCACTGGTGATAATAAAAATGATAGAGGAAGAGCTGAAAGTCACTTTCTTCTTTGGCCTGTCCCCTGCTTTCTGAGACATAACTATTGGTCGTATTGGTTTGTCACTCCCTGTTGCTGGTGTCTCTTTCATTGTCCTCTGGAATCTCATCAGGCGAAAGCACAGGAGTTGCAAAAGGCAGTGTCGAAACTGCAAGAAAGAATTAACAGAATCAAGTTCAGCTTCTTATGCATTCACTATCATGCACAAGCCAGTGAAGGACACAGTACAATAAATGCCTCCAAATAAGAGACTTCTGAATATCTTGAGTTAGTTTCAGTAACAAAACATGGTGCCTTTGTAGTGGGTAYATTTTCCGCTACAAATGAAAAGGATCATCGAGCCAACAGAGGGCACTGAAATGCAATTGAGCATTGTACCAGCCACAAGATCTGCAATCCACATCTGCAAAAGACAAATGGACTAGGTGCTATAGGTTTTGTTTCCATATTCAAAAATCACACATTTGATCCAGCAGGGAAAGAATATTCTCACAAACACTTCACAGAACACAAAGGGAAAGAACAAGAGGAGGAGGAAGGGGATACAAAGTGATATTTTTTTTCCTTTTAAGTAACTCCAGGGTCTGGAATTTTAACAAAAGCATTTAATGTCAAGATGTAAAATGAAATTTCAGTTTTAACACTGTCCCCATTGAATGGGGAAGTCAACAGGCAGCCTGTTCTACTGTATGACTAAAAAATGTGAGGCATTCAGTGAAAGCTTGCACCAGCATATAGAAAGAAAATTTAAGTAGTAGTGTTAATTCTGTATTAATTGTGTTAATTGTCTAATTATGGTCTCCCCTTCAACAAAACAAAGACCCAAGTATGAAAGTTAAAGGATGCATTCATTCAGTAGTTCCATGTGTGCACACATTTAAAGCTCAAAAATTATCCTTTGGGGAAGATCTCTGGTTCTACAAGAAATAAGTGGGCAATTTCATCTTTGTTTAATAACCTATAACAAGGCTTGCCTGGAATGTATGAAGAGGACTTCAGCCAACCAACCAACCAACCAACCAACCAACCAACCAACCAACCAACCAACCAAAATATCAAAAAAACCCTAAACAAAAACAACAAAACACACACACAACAACAACAAACATCCAGGGGCTGGTGGGAAATGCACCATTTCTCTGAATAGTGGGTGGGACACATTTTTTGAACAGCCTTCCATTTAGCTGTGTTAAGGATTACTCTGTATTATCCTGCATGATCAGTACCTCTGTTTTCCAAGCTATCATGCAAGAAGCAATCTGACATGCCAGTTTGGAACAAGGTTCTGCTGTGGAAAATAAATCCTACTCTGATACAGAGAAGGCAATAGGTCTGTCCTGTTGGGAAAGGGACTCAGCTAATTTCAAGATGTCAGAGAAAGATAATCTGGTGCAAAAGAATGGTCATGCAAGCCAGTGTAGGAAATAAGAGAATCTTACATCTCTATAATGAGTTTAAAGGGAAGGAAAGCCCAGGAAAATCCCTCCAACAACCATTCATGGATTTTTACCCTTTGTTAAGGGATTCTATTAAACACCAGATATCTTTATACAATCTTGGTTTCAGAAGTTTACAATGTGTATGTTGCACATACAGTTTCAGTCCTTGTGTTGCTATAAAATAGAACTTAAAGGCAAGTTTTTTTATTCCTAAAAACCAGACACTGATCCTTCTAAATTTTCTCTGATGGAGTTCTGCTATGGTAAGGGAGTGATTTATATGAGGTCTTCTACTTGCAATCTATTTCACAGGTAAACTGTCAAAACTAGACAATTAAATTCTGACACTCTCTCCCATCCCTTTCATGCAAGTTAAATGTCTGAATTCACATATGAACAAATTAAATTTCTAATCTGGTAGTATTTAAGCACCATCAGGGGTTTTACTCACTTCTTCTAGATTGTCACCATTTATCCTAGCTTTTCAAATTTGAAAAAAAAATCAGATTAAAATATATCTGAACTTAACTCCACAACGATACTGGCTACTAATAATTCAAACAAGAAAACCTTTAATGTACCTACCTTTCTACTCATGAAGATATAGATGACTGGATTATAAGCAGTGCTTGACTTGGCAAAGAAAGATGGAATGATAGCTACTGTTGGAGTCACAAGGTTGCTATAGCCATATGTTATCAAGAGGGAGACTACAGCATAGGGCATCCAACAAATAAGGAATGTGGAAATCATCAGGAAACACATTTTAGCCACCTTCTTTTCATATTTTAGAAGTTTGATCACTTGAACTGTCTGGAAATCTTCAACAGAACGAAGCTGTAGATGAAAATAACATAGTAAAATAAAAAAAAAATAGCTTTACATACTATTTGAAGATAGTATTCAAGTAGTATTACTTGAATAGTTCTATATTTATTTATAAGTAACTGATTCACTAATTTAGTTTAAGGTACAGACACTCTACTCCTTATCTTGTAAACCACAATTCTTCTAGAAGCTTACATCATATTTCTCAGACCTTTATTCTCTACATTAAGTGTAAAAATACAAGCCAAGAAAAAATAGAATAGCCAATCTTCCAGAAAATAACAAATTCAGAGATGTAACAAAACATGCTGCAGTTATAAGTATTTTAGAAACATAACTKGCCCACAGGTATTGGCATAAGCAAGTTCAGTTTACATTACTGTTCTTTTGTCTGAATAGTTAGACAATCCTGTAGATCTGTGTCATCAGAAATCTTTAGAGAAAAGAAAATTTCATAAATAGATTTCCCTGTACTGCTTTGCCCTAAAGTTGGTTACCCTAAAATTATGAAATCTCTATAGAAGACTACTAGTCAGTAGGTTCTCAGTGTTATCTGAGTCATAAAATAGGGAAAATATAGGACATGCAATGAACATACTCCACAAATTATCCATTGTGCCAATACTGTTGACCATAAACTTGAATGGGTCCAGACTAACTACCCACAAAATATGAATCATTAACAATTTCTCATACTAGGAATTTGCATTGAATTTGCAGGTGAGAACCTGATGTGGATTAGTAAGCATAAGCAGTTCCCTGCTTCCTCCCAGTGAAACCACACAACAAATAAACCTCGGTAGATCTAGGCTGGCTCTCTTCCAATCCTACATCCTATCTAGTGGTACCTGACATACATGAACATCAAACATTCAGAAGTTTGAATGGCAAGTGAAAGTGCCAATTTGTCTTGGATTCAACCTTAATATGCAGCTTCAACATTTTTCACTATTAATATTACATTAAGGGAAGTCTTAGTTGAATTAACTTACCATTCTTACTGCATAGAGAATATGGCCATAGCAATAGGCCATGATCCCAACAGGGGCTACTAGACAGCCAAGGAAAAAAAGGAGCACAAAGGAGGTATCATTGGGGTCTTTTGACTTCCAGTCCACTGAGCAACCTAATCCATGAATTTCCAGTGTGTATCTGTTCCAGCCCAAAAGAGGTGCTCCAGTCCAGGCTAGTGAGTATAGCCAGATGTACGTGATAGCCCGCCAAGACCAAGAGAAGTCAATCACTTTTGCATGGACCACCCGAATGTAGCGTTCATAGGCAAGAGCAGTGAGAGTCATAATTGAAACAATTCCTGAAAAAAAAAAACCAAAAAAAAAACTAATTTAAATATTCACAAATACTGTAAATTGCACTGAACTCCCCTTGATAAACGTTGCCTTTGCTAGCAAGTTAACTCATAACTACCTAGCTCATATTATGTATCTAACATCAATAAGATTTTTGATCCATGATGTACAATGGCCAAGAACTGGGACAAGAAAGAAAGAGACCAAACCAATATTTCTTCCTAAATATTACTTCATTAAGTGAGGAACCATGGTCCATGGTTTGGGAGTTTTTTCTGCTGGCAATTGTTGTAGGGTTTGTTGTTGTTATTCCTTCCTTTGGGGTTTGTGGTTTCGTTTGGTTGTTGTTGCTTAGGGTTYTTAAAAGGAAAAGCTATCAAATAAAATTGAGATAATCAACAATAAAAAAAAATCTCTTAGAAACTCAGTGAATTGAGAGTTGAGAATGAAATTAAAGAAAGCCTGAATAAACTGAAAACATAGATGTGCACCTTTACTGTGAACAAAATTACTAGAAGAATCCAAATTTATTTCAAGATATCCTGTAAGTCTTTGCATTCCAAAAAGAACCAGGTAGGCAAAACATTACATTGCTGAAGGTTCCCCATCTGAAAGACATTCAGTTATTTCAAGTGTCCTTTCCTATCTTTCTGCTTTCATGAAAGTATCAGTCCTTGTTCATTTATGTACGCTCTTCCTTTTCTGCCCACCTCAAACCCAGTACACAATTATTAGCATGTTATGACAGAAATGACACATTATCTTCATCTCTCGGTGTTACCCTATCCAGACACTTTTATCATTTCGTGAAGTCAAGGCAATAAGGATTTCTGTTTCAATGGTCTGTAACATTTGATGATCAAAAACAAAATTGCCCATCAGGAAACTGTCAAACATATGAAATCTGTTATGATTCAGCCATCAAGCTCATTAACATAGGTTCTTAAACAATAAAAGGACATATTTCACTGCATTCTGTGAGATTRTACAGATATCTGTGTCTAAATATGTATAGATTTTATCTAATTTGAAGGGTAAGTATTTTGTCATGAATATGGACAGCATTTGATTTTCACATTCATATGTGCCAGATAATGTGCATGTATACAGCTGTAAGAAGGTTAACTGTGCAGATTTCACTAGCAAAGAGAGAATAAGCATTTTTAGTCATCAGAAACCTGATCTCATGTTGAAAAAGAAAGAATAAGCATTTAATTAAGACAAATTAACAACAGCATAAAAGGACCAGTAACTTGGAATTTAGGAAGGCAACTAAGAGTAGCAAAATCTGGAGCAACACATAGCCTCTCTGTCAAGGTATTCAACAGCAAAACCAGTTTATTATTAACCAAATATCTCACAGTASGATATCCTTTAGGATTCTAAGAAAGTTACTTTATGCTGCAGTTATTAAAGGATTCCCTTTCTATAAGTGATGAGCTCGGAAAACTTTCTTGATTAGGCGAATTTCCCTTTCTAAAAGAAAATATGCCACAGTCTTTCGTAGATTTCTCTAAAATGAAACTATTTAATTTTTTTTTATGATGTCCTTTTTTTCTAGTTATCTTTAAACCTTCATCACAAAGTGATGTATATATTGTTGGGCATGCAGTAACCTTTCACATTTCGTTTTTTGGGGGGTTTTTTATTGTACAAATCATTGCTGTAGAATTTCATTTTCATAGCTTGGAACTGGACTAGCAAATGAGCTTCCAAAGAGCTAACATTTGGTTCATTAGTTGTTCTTTTGCATTTTGTTTTTAAATGAAGTTGAAAAGTAGTGCTTCATGGCCTTTTTTGTGACCCAAGATGCTGAAAACACATTAAACAATGTGGATCTAAGCAAAATATCAGGCACTAGAAAAAAACTACAGGATTTTTAAGGTACTATTTTACACTTACACTGGCTCAGGTAAGTGCTTTATTTAAATAATTCAAATGCAGTCTACTACCTGAACACAAAGCAAGGCAAGTTCCCCTCACATTTCCCTTACCCAAAGATTAGTCACTACAAAATTTTATCAGACATGTTTCTGGACAAAAGTTCACATCACTCAACTTAAGGCTCAGTTTGTTTATATAATGCACTGCAGCTTTGTCTGATCAGTCGAGAGAAAGAACAGCTCCTCAGGATGATGAGCTCTTTACCAGCTTCCTTCTCCCTACAATGGTATTCAGTGACTGATGTCCCTGTGTGCTCTTAATATTTCCTCACCCCTTTCTATATGAGTGCTGAATTCTAGCCACAACAAAGTAATCAGAAGCATGCATGCTTGGTTGAAAGTACAGGTGTTCAGAAGCAATAATTCACTAAGTCCTCGACATTCTCAAGGAAGGCATTGGATCCTCAATATTTCTAAAAATCTGTATGTACACAGGGATGTTTGAACAATGTTCTATCTGAAACCACTGCCCTTCAAAGGCATACTTCAATTTCTTCCCTGCCTCAAAGGGTAACTAGGACCTTGGAAAGCCTGTTGGACAGTATGCACCAAATATGCAAATATGCAAGTATGCAAATCCCTGTTCTGTTGGTATTCAAGGAGTGTCTGGTCACATGCAGACATGAGGCAGGAAACGCTGGTCACAGCATAAGATATATACGATTTTTGCATGTGTATGGCTCCATTTTCTAGGTATGATTCAGCTTCTGTAGTCTAGTGCAGAGGAAAGCACTGAATTTTATTTCACTCCCTGCCCCCCTGCCGCTCCAGAAGCTTTTCTGGAAATCATTAAATTTTATTCTGAGTGAGTTGCATATTTTAATATGATGAATCATTAAAAAAAACAAAAAACAAATCTGCTACAGAAAGCCATTATGGTTATTGTTTGGGTATTAGCCCCCTCTTAGCAAAAATATGCATTTCAAACCATTTTTACCTTTTATCTGAAAAAAATGCTGTTGAGCTTCTTGAAGATCTACGTATTTTGATTCAATGTTAAGGCCCAAGATTCTGAGGGTTGATTTATTCTACCAGCAAATTCTAACTCCTTCAGAAAGACTTGACTGCCCAGTGTTTACAGAGAATGATGTCTGATATACAGATTTTTATCTCAGAGAATTCTGCTATCTGTAAGTGCTGATTATAAACATAAATACTCTTTTTGTTTAGGAACTGATGCTGGGTTYAGTGCTGATTTAAGCCTGGGCAATTACCCCAGCACAAATGGGATCATTCCCATATAAGTCGCTGATAAACGTAGCAAAACTGAAGTGCCTTCTTGTTTAAGCCAATAGCTTTGCAATTTCTGCAACTCCTCTTCTTCTCCAGTGGCCAGTCACATAGAATCAGGGACCAGTGACAAGCTACTTCTTGTTATTTGGATGTTTATGAAGAAAATTCTCATTTTTGCCATTTTATTTTGTTTTCCTACCGAAATACTGCATTTAGTGTAGATTGGATTATGTATCATATATGACAATTATTTCTTCTCTTCTCTGGGCTTTTCTAGGAATCATATTCATTCTGAATGCATCATTAAATACTTCAAGCTGCATTGTGTGGGTCATCACAGAGAAGACTGCAAAACACAGCTAAGCTGTAGTGTGTTGTACCATACAATGTGTGTATTCTGACTTTATAATCCTTAATTAGAAGAAAAATATTGCAGTGCCTTTAGAATTGAAGCACTAGTTTCAACGGTTTCTGTCCTCTCCATGCAAGATATGCCTTATTTTCATGGTTTGCCTCATTGAGCCCCCACCCCAAACACGGCCTATAATTTGGTCAGAGGTGGTATCAAATATTCCCAAAGAATATTCTCTACACAGCACCTGTAGCATAACATAGCAAATAAGATCCATTTCTGAGACAGACCATGGCTTCTGTCAAATGGCATTACTTTCTATAGCAATTAATCCTTCCCCTGCATTCAAGTGCTGAATGACAGTTTTGAATACCTAATCAGAAGAAAGCCATTCCTGCAAYGCCTCCTCACCTACTTTCACATTTAAAAAGCTAGACAGCAGCAATTCAGTAGAAGTAACTTCCTGTCCATAGCAAGACAGGGTGCTATTGCACTCTCTAGTTTCATACCACAAAATAGATAACCAATCTATCTGAATTCAGCATTTATGCATTACAATAAGTTTTAGGCACCAGCTATGCATCACTTCTAATTTTTCAACCGATTTTAACATCTGCATTCAAATCTAGGTAGGAGAAAAAACACTTCTCTTAGACGTAATAGACTTCAAGTATATTTTATATGCAGCGGTCCTGTAAAACTATAGTGCAATAAATCACCTCTTACAGATTCAATACTCAAAATAATTAACTTGCTCTAAAAAAAAATAAAGCTGAAGCTGAAAGCATGCTGATTGAGCCTCCAGCTATTTGTAACACAAGATCTTAAAACTATCTGCTAAGTAACAATAGAAAATGCTTTTAGTGAGATTAAATCAGTGCATATAACATACATTGGTAATGCAAGAGGGTGGCACAGGACATCATTCTGTCACTGTGCAGAGAAGAGCCTTAGGTGAACAGGCTGTAACTGAAGCCTGGTCCACAGGACACTCTCAGGCAATTAATCCTTGTTTCAACATTTGGTGGATGCAGTGGTGCTGGTGTCAGCTTGCCTTGAAACAAACAAATAAAAGAACCTCAGTTCTACACACAGCAGCTCTTCATGGGAAAGTACAGTCTGTAAAACAACTTAAAATTTTTCCCATCCTCTAGTTCACATTACAGGAATGGAGTGTACACACGGATATCAACATTTATTTGGTAGTTCCTCAAGATCTAGCTGCTGTATACCAGTGGTAATCTGTCCAGAAGGGACACAATACTTTTAATTAATTTGACATTAAAAGCTGGCAGTGGTTTTTTGCCSTTACAAAAACAGCTTGCAGTTAGGAAAGACAGAGGTCTCTAATCACACTTCAGTAACAGTAGCTTTTAAATCACAAACAAGGCTTAATAATACAAAGCCTACCAGAGTACACCATGACTGTGCAATCTTCTGTCAAGAGACTACCTCAGATAAACCGTTTTGGTTCCTGTTCCTCAAGACTATTCCTGTTATCAGCCAGTTTTTCCACTCCTTTTTTCCTTTGYGTGATTAAACTTCCCAGAAAGAGTTAGAACACCAGTACTGGCCAATGGTTTAGCTGCCATTACTTGTAGCTGAAGTGATTTGTGCTCAAGGGGTTATGTGTCTATGCTCCACGTGATAAGACTAGCTTACCTCAAAACCCTCAGGGCYTATTTCAGAGGGCATTAAAGCAGACATCCATTGCCTGGGGCTGAGCAGCACACAAATTTCTCTTGTGCACATGAAGTTCTGATAGTTGCTGTCAATTTAAAAAAACCTTGTATGTCTGAGAGAAGCCAGCAGATACATTAAGATCATGACACCCTGACCCTGTATTTCACAATTACCCTCTCACCTGAAGAAAGAAATTATCTGTGTCTKCTAACCAAGACTTTGAACAGCTGTCAGGTGACTTCTCTAGAAACTATACCCAAAAAACTATGCTGACAGTGACAGACAGAAAACCTCCCAAGTATGAGCAGTATTCCTAAATCAGATAAAGAGATTACACAGATTTCTACTACTTACAGCTTGGTTGACTACAGACAGGGAAAGATAAGCTTTTCAGCTTAAAGAGAGGGTGGCAGATGAAATAGGGCCAGCGTAGAGTGAGTTGATTGCATACCTCCATAGAAAGGTGACCCTCATGGTATAAATAAATCACTTAATTGAAGCAGCTATGGTATCACACCAGGATACATCACCTGTTACAACACTGGAACTCAGTGAAACAAAATTAAGAGGGGATTATTGTCTAAGAAGAACCTACGTCACGAAGGCTTAGCCTAAGACTTGTCAGGTAATCATTTATGTCATTTTCCCCACATTAGTATATGAGGTGCAAAGAATGGCTTTGCAGTAGAGTCCATGTAAAATATGAAGACATGTACCTAAACTACATCTTGGCTTCAGACTTCAATCAGTAAAAGAAAGTAGGAGCTCTTATTTGTGCAACAAGGAGAGATGTTCAGTAGCCAAAATGACCAGCTTTACACTGTACCAAGCAGGTCTCTGCACCTTCTAAAGGCTCAATATAAAGCTTTCAAGTCACAGAAAAAATAGGCAGTAGCACAAACATCAGGTTTAGAGCTGTAAAATGCAGCTCAAGATCAGATATTACCACATGGGCTTGTCTCACCATAAAGTTATGATAATGCAGAAGCAGATTGTTGYGAGGACCACAAAAACCAGCCACCATGCATTCCTAGACAGACAATAGTTCTGCTGCCATGTTCTCAACTTAAAAGGTTCAGACCATGAACATCTGCTTACAGTGTCTAAGTTCTGGATCGTACATGCCTCCAACTGGGTGGCAAAATGCAAAGCACTCYAACAAAGAAAATGTGCAGATTCATCAATGCAAAATTATTAGAAGTGTAGAGAGTGGCCTCTAAGGAGGAAAAATCGTTGTCATTATTATATAATGAAGGTTTCCAAAAATATAGATGCTACCAGTTTATTTTAAGCATAAATGCCACCTATGTGTTTAATCATATTGAAATCCTCAAGAGGAACACAGAAATCTCTTGATCTTGGCTTTCAAAACAGTATGAGCAAAAAAAACTTTGCAACAASACATGAAAATTTAAAATAAAGTAGATTGATCATGGTTTTCAAAGTGACKTCTGATTGACTACAGTAATTAGAATGAATCTGATTTTTAAAATTTGTTGACAATGACCTCTGAATTTAAAGTGAAAATCCTATTTAAAAAAAAATTAAAGAAAAGCAGATGTAATAATTTGTCCCAAACATGTTTCGTATCAGGGAACCTCTCATTTATAAGTCAAAACATGCAGAGAACAACTTCCACMAAGTATTGGGCCTTAGGAACTGTTCTTCCAAATTAAAAAAATGCATTAAGATTGAAAGTAAGTCTGAACAGCCTTCAGACCTGAAGGAGTGGCACCGAAAGCTCATGTAGCAATGCCCAAGTTCATACCCAAGAACGAAACCACCTAGCTGTAAATAAACAGGTTTCGGTGATCTTATGTATGACCAAAATAAATGAGCCAGACCGAGTCCAGTCTCAGGAATATCTACACCACTAAAGTAACCTCACATGATCTGTTATGATTTAATAGACTCGACATCCATGGTATCAGAGCTACCACCACTTTATTCTAGAAACATCATCTTTATGTCATTGTGGCTTACTGAGCAATTGAACACTGCAAAACTATCAATTTTGTAAGTTTTCTGATCAGCAAATATACTTTGTATTCCCAAAAGATCCTGGGGAGAGTGTTATGCTTTCAGAAGCACCTGTAGGTAACTACACATGTAAGACTTCCATTACATTACTTTTCCCACCACCATCATCTCAAGATAATAGGTGTCTTGGGCTATTGTATACGAGAGAAGTACGTTTATAAATATAATACTTGGTTACTGTGAATGAAATCTTCAACTGGTATCCTCACCACTACCAGGGGAAAAACAAANCCACAAACAAACAAAACCAGAAAAACAAACAAACAAAAAAGCACAAAAAGCCCACAAAAAACCCAACCAAAATACCTAACCCCAAACAACAACAAAAAACTATGAAACAGAAACAAACAAAAAACGTTTAAATTACTCCTCTTCTTTTGTAGACACATTAAAAATTAAAATAGAAGTCATGGTAGCAATAATCTAGATGGCAAACAAGTGTGATGCCACCTGTGGGGCACCATTTATAATTTTKTTCCTCAGTATTGACATGGTCCTGATTTCCTACACAGATGGGGAACCACTTACCTTAAAAAMAGGAAAGAACAATCCTTCTATTTCTAGATGAGAATACGAAAACAATGCTGTGGAGATTAAGTTCAGACATCAGTTTTTCAATTTAGTATTCAATTGTAATAGTCAAGTGAAATATTTTCTATTACTTTACCTAATAGCTAAAAAAAATAAATTCAGGCATCATTCCTGAACATTAAGTTGTGCTTTTACTTTATACTTCCATATGATCAACTACACACAAACACACACTTTTGTAACAATAATCATWAAAAAAATCTTCCCAGTGAAACACATTACGGAAGAGGAATATAGTGTGACCAGGCACAAGAAGATGTAATTTTGCAAACCACTGATGCTAACTTGACTACTCTCTAGATAAGGCCCGTGAATTTGCCTAGTCTATTTGGAAAAAAAATTTCTTACATAGAGGGATGCAAGAAAGCATCAATGCTGAATATCTTTATAGTAAAAATTTCATACCACAATTCAAAATAAAAAAAAATTAGAAGTCCTCTGTGATCAAGTAATTTCTTTACCAATTTACATACCTCATTGTTTCTATTTCTACTATTTCAGAAGACAGCACAAGATTATTATAGTCTGGTTTTTCTACCCTTACTATCTTATTTTTTGAACCTATATGGAAAACGTCTCCATCAAAAATAATAAGTAAAATATTTAAGAAATAAAAATAGGCACAGAACCGTATTTCACATCTCCTTTGTAGGCTTAATGTTCAGTTTTCTGGCAGCATCTGTTTGGCAGACACTAGAGTTTCCCAAGAATTTGAGCAGCCTGGGTGATGGAGATAATCTTATGCTAACAAGGTTCTGTAGTACCTTCCCCCCTAACAACAGCTACACAAATGTCTGAGCTGTGCACTGCAGAAAGCATCTGGTACTAAACCTGGCACAAATGGTTAACTACATCCTGCACCAACTGCAACTTTCAAGATTTTTGCTGCACTATGCAGCAGCAGTCAAATCGATCATGAGCAGCCATGCACCTCTGCCCAGTAGCTCACAAAAGACAGACTACAGAGCCATGTGCAACAAAGGTCATGTATGCAGGAAAGCTACAAAGCTTACTGAAGACTTTGATGTGCTGCCTTAGAGTCAATTGTCAGTGCATACATGTCCCATGGGTGTGCTGTGTTCCACCTGTAATTTATACACCTCTGCCAGAAAAGAAAGTATCTGATAAGAGCTTTAGATTTCGATCCTGATTAGCCAAACATTTACTTTCACCATTAGAAACCCAACCCTGTTCTTTTGCAACATCCTTTACTGGTAAAACAAAGCCATATTCCTTGTAACAGACTGCATGGGCATAGCTGGACTGCAACCTATTCTTCTGCAGAGTTCTGCAAAGGGTATGTATTCATTTAAGGAAGGAAACCAGTGAAGAGCTTACAGGTTTTGAAAACAGAAATCATGCACATACTCCTTCTGCAGAGCAAAAATTTCATGGGAATCAGTGGTTTCCCAAAGCCTAACTGTGACACCGTTATGACTGAAAGATGGTACTCGAATTTCACATATGGATAAGGAAATTCAAGGCACTGTCACACACTGCGTAGCTTTATAAACAGAGAAGTTGGGACCCTGGAAAGAYTGCTGTGGAACAGCTTTCCACCTGTTCCACGGTGGCGGGACACTGCTGATCCTAGAACCCAGAGCCCTATGTGCTCGTTATCCACAGATTGCAGCGATTCCTCCTRTAAAATACAGTCGTTTATGCTCATGAATTCTGCGCAACACTCGGTCAACTCGAGACGCCGTCTAACAGCGCTACTGCCCTCTTCCCTAAGTGCCCCGTTACACCGGCAAGGCCGGTGCCGTTACACCGGGAGGCCGAGAAACTGATTCTCGGAGATTTTTTTTTCCTCTGGATCGTTTTCTTCAGCACTGCCGCTCTCCTTTACTAAAAAGCGCCCGCTCCCGCCCTGCCAGGGAGGCGATTGAACCCCCCGAGCCGGAGTGACTCGAGGGAGCGGCGGGGAGGCGGCGGTCGGGGCCGGCAGTGAGCGGGACGGGGCGGTTGGGAAGCGGGGACGGAGCGTTGGGGCGGTTGGGAAAGCGGGGACGAGGCGCGGGACCGCCGGTAATAGCGGGAGAGGAGGAACCCCCTCAACAGGACAGGGAGTGACAGGCGGCGCCCGCGGCCCCAGCACCCACCGAAGAGGCTGCTGCTGAAGCCGTCCCAGACGCAGCCGGCGGCATTCCATACCCAGCGGCTCCTCAGGCAAGACATGAAGGTAAGGCTCACGCCGAAGACCGACACGAGCAAGTCGCTGAGGCTGATATTGACGAGGAAGAGGTTGGTGGGCGTGCGGAGCCGCTTGAACTTGTAGTAGAGCACCAGCACCAGCAAGTTGTTGCACAAGCCCAGCATGCCGATGGTGGCGACCAGCAGCGCCAGCAGCTCGTAGGTGCCGGCGCTGAAGAGGGGCCGCTCGCCCGGCACCTCCTGCTCGGGCGCCGCGGGATCCGGGCGGCTGGAGGTGTTAGTGTCGTTCCCCGAGGGCATGGCTCCCGGCCGGAGCGGGGCTAAACCTCCCAGYCCGCTCCCAGCCCCATCGCACACCGATGTTCTTGGCAGGAGGAGGAGTCCACGCTGCCTTCCCGCCCACAGAGGGCGCGCCCTCGAGTGGCTTCGCCCTTGCCTGCCACTGGGCGGGCCGTAGCAAGGCTCATTCTAAACAGATAGCTCGTCTCGCCGTCTTGCCGCGGTGAGCAGCCTGATGTGGGTGGCTGTTGTCTTCTTTTCCTTAAAAATCCTCTGTGCGCTTTCTCTGGGCCACGGCGGGCCTCAGCAGCCCTCCCCTCACGGAGGCCGCGTTTGAGCAGACCTCCTCTGCTCGGGAGGTCTGCTCAAACGCGGAGGGTCTGCTCAAACGGGAGGCCAGCTTCGGGAAGAGGTAGAACAGGTATTTAGGCTTCTTCCCCAGATGTCCTGCCAATGAAAACTCTTATTATGGCAAAAGCCATAATAGTCTTCTCAGGAGGTCTCCCGCATGCCCACAGCTTGGCCTTAGGAGTTAGAACCCCACAAAGCAACCAGCAGCATCACAGCCCGGGCAAACTTGTGGTGCAAGTGAMCACTTTTTTTTTGTCAGGCATGGGGCAAGTAAAACACCACGTTTTGCACCGTGAAGTCACCCGTTCTTTGTCTCCAGTGTGTGTTCTGTGAAAACAGTACAGGAATGCCCTAGATGCCTGTGTACAGCTCTAGCTGGTGTTAGTCACAGTATTGCCCTTAGGTCCAGCTGTGCTGGCCTGTCTGTACTGTATCCAAACACAACCCAGCCCTGAGTGTTTCACAGGGAATTTGCTCACCATGATCCTACACCCAAAACACCTTGCCAGACCAAGCACCAGTTTTCCTCTTAGGAAGATATCTAGCTTATTTGCTTTAATACATGTTAATATGTGACAGCCTTCATATGGGCTCAAAGAAAACTTTCAGTTTAGGTCTATTCTTCAGTTTAAAAAAAGAAACCCAGCTGTGAAAGCAGTAGAATTTTAATGTATATATATATCTTGTCCAAAAAGAGCTGGTATATTTTTCTTCTTTTATACACAGGGGTATTAAATGGTTTAGACTGAGAGTGAACTGAGACTGAAAGCATAGGTGGTTGAGGTAGGTTTGATGTCTTTCAAAACACAAAACTATATACAAATTATGGGCAWCTCATGGCACTAAATTTTATATGACAAATTAATGCAGTAATATAAGGTAGTAGGAATGAAGTCATAGGTCAGAAAACTAAAAAACTGATTAAAGTAGCTGTTCTTACTAATGTTAACTTTATTTACAGTCCATGTTGTTAAATCCCCCAAATATGATGCAATCAGTAATTGAAACTGAATTAAAAAAGCTACTTCAGTCTGTTTCCTAATCACTGGGGTTTTTCTCATTGCAAAGGAAGTCGCAGCTTCCTTTCTCAAAATCAATTATATGTTTTTTACCATGAAAACTGTATTTAGAGAACATATGACCTTCCAAAACTTCCAGTRACAGACCACAGTACTTGAGCATGGGTTTTAGGGAAGGCATAATTTTGTCTTTCATTGTCAATAAAATAAATTTATCTGCATGTAACAAACCATGTGCAAAAATATTATGTCAATGCACAGTCATGGGTGCATTTAAGACAGTTAGTGCATTTTAAAAGTCTAACAATGACATTATTGGGCCAAATTAATGCTGCACCTCATTGAGAACAAGACATCTCTATCTTCTGCCTTTAAAGGAAAATCTTGAATTCTATATCTTTTTATTCCTGCAAAATGGAAGGAGAGAAAGGGTGGTAGGAAGAACAGGGGCAAAATGTAATTTAGTGAGTAGTGCATGCCAGACAAAATACTGTCCATTCGCAGATTCCATTATATACTTAGAGTTTCTAAGAGGTATTTCACTACAGTCAGAAATACTCCCTCTAGATGTCTTTGAATTTATGGAAGATAAGAGGAGGAGAAGCCATAACTTGCATTTTCCAAAGATCATATCTCAGAATTCCTGGTTTGGACTTCTTTGTAGCAAAATTAAATAGATCCATGAATGTCCAATCTCTTCAGTACTTTATTTGCAATAGTCAAATTATTAATACTGTAAAATTGCTAATGTTATTCAAGTGGTCTTGGATACTTCATGAGCAGAGTTCCATTTGTCTTCCATGCAGTTTCACTTCTCATATGAGTCACAACAAAAAGAAATGCTGTTTTGTTGTATCATCAAATCAAAGGCAAAGCTGGAAACAGAACCCAGACAGTCAAACTCCTGTTTTATCTAACCCAGTCTAGAGCCAATGCAGCTATGATTTTAATAATCKAATTTAATTCTTTAGTCAATCATTTTCTGCTGCAAAGAGGTTTTCACTTTTACTTTTACCATTGCATAAGAGGATAAGCCAGAACCCATTTCTAAAAGTTGTGTGTGACTTACTGGAGGTGCATCTCAACTCAAAGTACTAAACATGTAGGTAGTTAAGCTCATGGGATTCAAAAAGTAGAAAAAGAAGCGGTAATAGAAGGACCCCAGTCCTGTACTAAACTGTTCAAAAATAGTCTCTGAACCTCCCAATGACTTCCTAGATCTCTTCTGCAACAATCCTTTTAACATTGTCTGTTATGTACAATTCACATGTACTGGAAGAATGCATTGGCTGTAAATTCTCAGGTGGCAAACATATGTGTACACATGCATAAGACAAACCTTAAAAGCAAGCCTTGGTACTAATAATTCATAACTATAAAATTTGCAGATGTCTGGGACTGTCTTCAAAAATTTTTGGTGTTTAGTAATTTTGAAATGTTTTAACACATCAGAGCATTGAGTATCACATGTAAGAACTGAAGAATCTGAAGCTGAGCAAATAAAGTGTCAAAGTCACTGCTTCTCCCTAAGCTTGTGTAGAAATACAAACTGCAAACCATGACTCCCACTTGTAACTGCACCATTAAAAACGTGTGAGCTTTTGCAGTGAGAATGCTGTGGGGTGGAAAAAGGCATTCAAGAGACCTATTTCATTTAATGTTCACTGACTTAYGTGTTGCTTTGACTCATTTTCTCTATTCTCTGCTGTCTTCTGCTAGTGTGCCTTTGAAGGCACAAGCTCTTTCCCATCTTTCTTGACAAGCAGAGAGTGAGCATCAAGTCAAAAGTCAAGCTTTTGTCCGTATTAAATACATTTGTTTTAGGATTCAGATGACACTGGGGTTTTGCTGCCTGGTTGGAATTTTGTAAACTTATTTTTTCAAAGGGCATGGTATAGAGCCAGAATGCAGACCTCTGAAAACAAAACAAAACTTCCCAAAAACTGTCTACCTGGCTTCTGGCTATCTGGCTTCGACTTTAGTTTTGTTTTTTTAACAGTGTTCTGGCATTCTTTTTCTTACATATTGTTTTTGCTATTCTTTAGCATTAAAGACAGAAGAAAGTCAAGTATTATTCACTGTCTCTATATAGCTGCACTGCATATCTACAGAGCAAGGGTGAGTTTATGGACAGTGAAACCTTTCATCTGTTCCCAACCTCTTGGTATTAAAACAAAGCTTTTAATATAGTTCTACACTTCTTGATAATGGAATATATAAGTAAAAGAAACTAAAAAAAAAAATAAAAATAAAAAAAAAAAAAAAGAAAAATAAAAAAAAAAAAGCCAAAATGCACAGGTCTAATGGCAAAAGTTTAAAACTAGGGCTTCATCTTGCAAAATTTATAATCCTGCCTATACAATCTAGTTCATATTGGGATGTGAACTTTAAATCATGAAGCAGATAAAGTGCAACTGTTGCAAGAATGTGAGACTATTCTGGGTTGAGATGAATGTTTGGCACAGTTCACTGAAGCAAACACATCAGCATGGGAGGGGAACGCAAGCAAGCAAGCAATCCTGGGAGGTGAAGGCGAACAATCAGAGCATGTGTGCTGAAGTTGGAAGTTGGCTGCAGCTTGTTCCATGATGTGTGAGCTCAGGTATGCCTGACATGTGCACAAAGAGCTGTAGTAGCTGCAGGTGTGATTCATCTCACCTAARTGATGTATTTGAAAGTTAAGCACCTAAGACCAGTAAGATGAATCACTCTCTGGAAGTGTTTATTGACTGGCACATAAGGTGACCTGAATAATGGATTTTAGATGCTTGAGTTAGGTGAGAGGGGCTTAATCTTGGCTACACAAACCTGTGTGGGACTGTGGTATGTGCTCAGATGGCAGATGCATATCGATGCCTCTGTGGCACTTGATTCTTGCAGAAGGGATTAAAAGAAATGGTGATATGTATTTCACCATCATACCATGATATCATACCATGCTTGGCTGTACAGACACAGCTTATAGGGCGGCCTGAACTCTAAATACTAGCATTATAAAACCATTATAAGACCAACAACACCAGGTTTTGCAACAAAAACACTGTGAAATTAATTTGTGATATAAACTCGTTGTTTTCAAGGAATAACCTTGCATTGTAGTTCATACTTATGCTGCAGCTTCTTGATAGAGTGACAAATGTGAAATGAGAGCATTTAAAAACTCACTGTGCTGTTGTCATTTTCCAGAGTCCAACATACAAATCAATATGTAGTTCATCGGAAATACTGTTTTTAAAACTATCACTTGGTCATTTCAGCTGCTGTTAGTGACAGAGAGGACCAGACTTTATAGCAAGGAGTGCAGTACCACTYGTGGGGTGTTAATATCAAAAGCAAAGTGAAAAATTAAGCCAGCAGAGAAAAYGAGTGAGCTAATGTAAATGTCAACATCATAGTACCCCTTAAACACTGTTTCTTGGAAACAATTTAATTTTTACGGTGCTGAAATTTATTACTTTCCCAGCCCTGTACTGGTCAGAGAGTTCAGGATAGAGCTGCTTGAGTTCTGAAGTCTGAACTCAAGCAGCTGTATCCTGATCCAACTTAAACACAGCCAGGTTTAACAGGGTTTATATGGAAGAAATAGCAAAGGATGAGTAAGCTCATCAAAAGAAAGCGTCTTCAGAGACTGATTTTTTTTTTCTTTGTTAAACGTCTGGACTTTATCTGGATGAAAATCAGTCAGAAACAAAGTCTTTTATGTCCCAGAGCCTCTTTAGGAACGACTAAGGCCAGTTAAAATCTACTGTGTTTTCTTTGGGGTGTTCTGAACCGTCATTTTATTTGGGTAGAATTTGTGTTTGCATGAGACTRCCAGGAAGAGTGATTGGCAGCCTGGTCCAGGCAGAAAAGAAGATCTGTCACCTTTTGCTGTTTGTCTTCTTCAGTTGCCTTGGGTTATTTGTTATTGGCCGTTAAATTACATGGTCAGAATTTTAAAACTTGCATTACATTTCATAGACTTATGACAGTTATAGAGATAAAGATTGAAAATTACTGATTTTTCAAATGAGGTGCCAATCCTGCAATGAACTTTCTGCAGTTGTTCTTTGCATCCATATAGRTACACAAATCATTATCTTTGTATTGAGAATTTCCAATAATTGAGACTAATAGGATTATGTRGGAGGGTTAACTTCTGAATAAACATAAATTCTACCATATTCCATATCCAATGTTTTTCACTCTATCAGTAAGGGAGACAGTGAAGAAAATGTTTTTCATTCAGTTAGTGCTACTGTAGGCCTATTAATGCAAGGACTTCCTGACTCATCAATTAAATATTGCATTTGCCTTTTAAACTTTGCTTATCCTCTAATGCAATTCCTATCTTCTCCACTTTTGTATTTCAATCATCACATCTTATTTTTAAGTTGTACTGTACTTTTCTTTTTTATTTGAAACGTTAAAGACAACATAATCAGCTGGTACTGAAAGCCATTATTCCTCTTTTGGCRTTTCTTTGTGTTTTTATTATGTTACATAACATGGAGTTTTTATATGGACTTTTGCAAGAGACCAAAATACAGCATTCTTTACTTAACCCTCTATTCTGAGGATGGATGGTAATACCCTTTATGAACCTTAAACCCTGTCATCAACTGGGAAATGAAAATATAACCTGATGTCATACAAGCTTAGATGACAGAGACTGGAAATATTAATCAACAGGAAGCACTGCATGACAAGAATTCAGATGGAGTCAGTATATCAAATACACCACAACTCTGACCAAGATGTAGTATCTGACCAGCCACTGCATACCTTATCACACAAAGGAAATCCTTTCCTGGAGAATTACTGCTGGAAACAGCAAAAATGTATCCTCAAGCTATCCCTTCCTTTTCCGGGTATCATTGCTGTTTTTCTTTGCCAATCTTTTTCTCATTCTAATTGAAATAAATATGTATTGCAGTAGAGCAGAAGTACCCAAAAACTTTTATGTCCCTCCCTTTGAAATGATAGAATTTCAAGCAGTTGGATTGCTTGTGTTAGGTAGCATATTGATGCCTGATGATTTTTGCCTTTCTTTTCATGTACCCTTTTTTATACTTTTATATCCTTTTATACATTTTCTGTACCCTTTATGTATCACTTGTACCCCTTAGCCCACATGTTTGTAAATTCCTGTCACCTGATGTTCCAGCTTAGTTTAGGAGTTCTGCTGGGCAGAGAGACCAAACATCCTGAGGAAGGAGTCAGTGTGTCCTGTGCTATCTTAAACCTGAGGCTCCAGCCTTGGTGAAGCCTTCTCTCTGGAACATCTTGTRTAAACTGGGCTCTGGCCTCATCGGGGGGGGACTCATTAGAATAGGGGGACATTACTGCATTTGTTAAGTTTCTTATTGGGGAATCCTAGATAGATATGCTAATTTCTGAAACCTATAAAACTTGTATCTGTGCTATACATAGGGGTGCATTCTGCCATCAAGTTGTGCACCTGGGATCCCAAATACTGAGGTAAAACCCTTTTATCCCCTTAACCATGTCTGTGTCATTATTAAAAACTGGCTGTTCAAGGCAACAATATCATGAGACACCATTTCCCCTGAAGAGCTAGCTGTTCATGCAGAGATATTTCCATGCATTATTTTTAGTAACTCTGTTTAATACCCAGTAGTTGCCTTCCCTATAAGTTTCAGAAATGTTCAGCTGATTTTCCAAATGTGTGTGAAGACTATGGATTTAATCTGTTTTGTTTGTTTTCTTTGAAGAAGTGACTTGTATATTCTTGAAACATGCCAGTTTGGTATCAATCCTCTAGATTGCCATAAGGAACTATAAAATATAATTTCTCATTTTCTTTCAACTACAGAATCTCCACAGACCAAAGACTCCATGCTCAGGAATTCAAGAAAGCCTTGACCAGTAAACCTGGCACCAGCCTTGGGTGAAGTAATAGAAAAGTGGATCTGGAGATCAATAGCTAAAGCACATTACAAAGAAATTGATCAGTGTGGTCTACAGAAAAGTGAGTTTAACAAAAAGCCTGAAAATCATCATTTGCCTTTTATGGTCTAGCAGAGTAACATGGCATTACAATTCTTTAAAGATGTTAAAAAGATGAAAAATGAGGAATCGCAGTTATATTGAGACCTAAAGGAAAGAGCTGCAATAGGAGACAGAAAGTTTAGTCTGCTTTAATTAATGTAAGAAMAAAATGGAGTAGTAGTCCAGGTACAAAGGCCCTTAGTATGAGAATGTACCAACTAAATTAGTGACGCTATTCCCAGAGCTGCCCTTAGGAAACAGAAGCCACACAAAATCATATAGGAGGCTTGAATGTTAACAGTGTGTGTAATTAACCTTTGGAACACACCTGTTGGATTGTCCATCTTTTTATGTCTGAAGATTAACACTTGACACCTTACTATATGTTAGAACAAAATTTTGGGCTCAATATAGTGATAAATGGCTGATATTTATTGATCTGTAGCATAAAGGAGGTAAATGTAGACTTAAAGGTTTCTTCTGTCACTTATTACATGAGATAATATGAAATAATCTCACATGCCAGGTTGTTTGGTGATCCTGATTCATGACTTATGGCCATGCAGTGAGTAGGACTCTATGATGTCATGGGGGGTTGCGACAGTTCTCTACACTTTGGCAGCTTGACATGCTAAGCCAGAGTCTCCTCTTTTTTATTATATAATATTTGGAATATCTGTCATGCAGCTGCGTTTCACATGAACTCATGTGGGAGTTTAAATAAAACAAGGCTCRGACCTGGTTGTAAGAACTCCCCCTCTTGTCTTTTGTTAATGAAGGATGTCTGGAAAGAAGCATCGTGATAAGGAGAGTTGCTCTTCTCTTGAATTGATTGATTTCAAGAATGCTTTGGAGCAGTTCCATAATCTAGTTGAAAAAATGGTCATCCAGAAGACCAAGGAGAGTTCAGGCTTGTATACTAAAGATGATGGTAAGAGATATTCATTCTGATGGAAAAGTGTAATTTTTACATGGAGAGAATGTATCATAGAGAGAAGATGATAAGAAAGACCTCAAGYTAATGTTCTAACTATAATTGTTTGATTTTTTACAGAAAATAGAGAGATTGCACAATGAGAATTCTTTTCTCCTTCTATTAGGATTTCTGGCCAAATTGTAAGGCCATGGTAATCACTCAAAATATAATTGGTGGAGTTGCCACATATAGAAGTTAGCATGATGCAATGTTTCTGTAAAGGCACAAACCCGATGAATTATGTAAATATGGTGGTTAATTGTAAATAATGGAGGCAAAATTTTGCTTTTCTCAATGCAAGTGGCTATTGCTGCTTGAAAGGAGAAATTTTGTCCTAAAGTTAGTGGTTTTAAAGTCCATTCAGGTTCAAAAAGTCAAATCAGAATTATGACAAAGAGGGGAAGAAAAAAGAAGTGAGAAATTTTTATCCATTCTTTTATCTGTTTCCTGTCATGCATTGCAAATTAGGTCATTTGGAAAAGAGCAAATATTAGGATTGKTTTTTTTTTTTTTCAAATGCTTTAGTGAATACAATGTGAGAAGCTAGAATGTGTATGCTATTGAAATTGAAAGAAATTAAACCAGAGGTAGGGTGGATGAGAAAGGAATCTGTAACTTACCAGTTTTAAACTTTGTGGACATTGTTCCTCCCATACAGATGAGATAGACTATGATAAATTCTATGCAACCACAAGAACACTTTTTGGTCCAGCAGTCAAGGATCATAATATTCAGGCCTTTTTCAGGAAGGCTATGAGCAACCTTGATGAAAGGCCAGAATGGCTTGAGGTAAGGATTTCTAAAGTTTTCTTAAATATGAAAAGCTAATTAGAATCTTAAACGGTGGTGGTATTTACCTGTTGACTGTATGTTGTTTACAAGTCTGTTTTTCATGAGCTCCAAGGCATAATGAGGCACTCTGTTGCTGATATTTATCCTTGCTTCCTGAAGCCTGGGTGTACTTAGGTCTTCACAACTACTTCCATGATACGCATTGCCCTAAGGCTTCTTGACAAAATGCAAAATCTCTTTTGACTACAGTATGCCATTTGTGCTCTGAGGACAAGTCTATCTCTAGCTAAACCTTCAGAAATGCTTCCTTGTTTTCTCCTCTTCCCTCTCTTTTCTCTTACCTCTGCTCCCTTGCCTTTCTCTTCCCTTGTTCAAAGCATAAATCTGGCCCTTACTTTAAATATGAAGCATTAGAGGGCATCATTTTGATAGAGTTTTTTAACCAGAGAATTCTGTATATATTTTTTGGTTCTGTAGTTGAATGAGCGAGATCCATGTAATCAATTTGTCTGTCTCTTRTGGTGGTAAATCACCAATTCTCATCAAGAGCTCCTATCATCATATATTACTACAAGATTTTTAGGTTTTTTCTTACCTGAAGAGAAAATTGTGCAGAAGGGGCRTAACTTCAGCACACAGTGACTTTCCTATGGTAGCATAGGAGGCATTGGATGCATAGCAAGTTCTTGCTGGACTTAAAGTCTTATGGCAGAATATTAGCAAGTGACATGAATATAAATTCATCAATGTATTTCCATTTTATGTTACTCTCAAACATCACACTACTGTTGGAACCTTGAACATACCCAACACCTATTCCTTACATGTTATCAACAACTACTATCAAGTAGTTTCCTAATATCATCTTAAAAGGGATGTGTTCAGCTATTTCTATTTAATAAGGATCTGTATGGAAACATTTTTGAGTACTACCTTTCTTAACCATAATTTTTTCTTACAGTGTAACATTACTCACAGGGTTTGCTCATGTCAGGCATTAAAGATTTCCTTCAGGGAGGGCTTGGGGCAAATCTGGAAAATAGTTGACAGTCTGAAGGACTGATTTTCCTTCATTTAGGGTAGCAGAACAGTTTCAAATAACRTGCAGCCTCATTCCTTTGTAAGAGAGCTGAGGGAAGCTCTGTTTTTTTATTGGAGTGTGTATCATTTATTCCAAAACCTTCCTTGAGTCTAATTCAGTCAGACTACTTAGTAAATTACATAATTACATACATAATTTGGCTACATAATTACACAAACAAGCACAGCATGGGGTCTAATAAAGGAGGTGAGGCCACCTTAGTTTCCTTATGAAATCTGTGCATTATTTGCCCCGGATAAAACTCCCCAGAGCCCTTTCTATGAGCATTTCCCCAATTTTATGAAGGGTGAGCTGAGTAATGACAGCCTTTTAATATGCCTTGTGCTTTTTCTTGAAAAAAGCAGAGCATGGTAAACAATGAATCTTCAGCATCGCTCATCATGCGTGTCATGTAGACTATGGATAAGAATAAGCATATAAAGAGTGCTATAGGCAATAAAACAGAAATATTTATAGTTTTTTCTGTTCAAAAGAATCCTGATTAAAATGTTAATTTGGGGGGGTTTCCCATTATTTTCTCCTGGGGGAGAGAAATATTTAACATAAAGTAACTGGAAGTTYATCCATGACAGAGTTGATAGTTCAGTTATGAAATAGACAAAGATCAGACTCAATAGTCTATTTATTTCTTTACCTTAACACAGCCTTATCCAGCAMGGTTTGAAATATAATACTGCATTGAAAAGCTGCAATGCATTTTTTGCTTTTTTTTTTCCTCTCTGTTTAGTGAGAAATCTGATGGTCCATATGTTATATACATTATGGAACATAAAGTCAAGCTCCTTTCAGGGAAAAAAAAAAAAAAAGGATAAGATTTGGTTTATTGGTAGTCTAGCTAGAGAGAAAGAGAAAAAACTGCAACAGAAAAACTGCTGACTTCTGGAATTCTCCAAATTTGGCTTACACAGAAGCAAAATAATTCCTGAATCGATCATTTGATTGATGTCTAAACCCAATTTACTTCAACCATAAATTCAGCATGAGCTTTTGAATTCCTGTAATTGTGGAAGCATCCTATCCATAATGATTGGATCAAAACAGATCCTTCCAGATTTATTTGAATGGGTTCCGATAAAATAAAATGTGATTGGTTTGTATCCTACATAGTATGTGTTGGTGACATTTAAAAATTTTGTTTCTCTGACAAACTCTACAGTTTCAAAATTGTTCAGGTAATTCTGGAAAGTTACTAATGTCAGGAATGAAGGCAGGAATGTTCTGACTGGCTACTTTGCCAGAGACTTACAATTGTAAGTTTATACAGCTCTAAATTCTTTTCATCTGTCTTTAACCTCTTGATAGTCAAAGATGTCCACGTGTAGTTACTGATGAGGATCATAGACCTTTTGTTGCTTCCACCCATATCTGTAGCTCTTCTTTTTTATATGATTTTGAAGTTGACTCTATTTAATCCTTGGCCAGACTAAATMCCACTTGCATTTCTCTTGCTCCTTAGTCTTTTAATTCCTTTTAAATTAAGGTTGTCTTTTTTCTGAAAAAAAAACACCCAAAAAATCAGCAAAACACAATACAAATTAAAACACCTGCCAAACAAAACCCCATCAGCCACAGACACAAAAAAAAAAAAACAAAAAAAACCAAGAAACCAAAAAACAACTGCAAATCTGCTCTTTGACATACTTAATAACTTTATTGAAATTATCATCAAGCTTTTAAGAGGCCAAAGTATTCTTTGGAAATACTAGCTAACACCAGCTRTTGTTTGAGAGAGATGGTGAAAGAGACAGCAAGGCCTCCCTTACCTGATGGTATTCTTACAGTGTTCATTAATCTACTAATTATGTCAGAAAAATCACATTTATAAACTGCAATTTGGACATATCTTTCATGACCCGCTGTGAACAATGGAAGCAGCCTTGATCTTGCTTCAGCCTCCTTTTTTATAACYTAATTTTTTAAATGTATCATTAATAGCAATTACTGTAACATCKTAAACAGCCATCATGGTTTCTGCTGTCCGTGCTCCAGTTTTCTAATGATTTTTTTCTAAAAGTCCTGTATTATAACCTTGTTCTTCTGAGTTCCCCTGCTCCTTTTAGCACTGCTGAGCATGCCCTCAGTCTTGAAAATCAAGAAACAGGGATACACCTCACTTCATTCCTTTCATATGTCTCTTTTATAATTTCTCTCTCTCTCACCTTAGCCCTCTTCTCAGAACTCTATCCCTGACCCTTTGCTCCTATTTTCCTACTATAACAAGTCTAATTTTTTTCAAATTCACCTCTCGATTTCTGGCCTCTCTTCAGCTTGACAAAATCTTACAAATTTATTTCCATGGTTTGTGTGAGTGTTCTTATTTCTTTAACTTACTGATATTTCTCTTTTTCAAGTACTTTATGTTCAAGGGTTTCCTAAGTTTCCGGTGGTCTCCACAACAATGTACCCATGTTCAAAGGATACTTTTTTATATGAGAAAAAAAAAGTTATTTTAATCATCTCTAGTTAAATTGGGATCCACCCTTTGTCATTTGCTCACTTCACAGTTTAAAAGACTTTTCCTGGACAGTTCAGCAGCTATAATTTATCGATGACTTGGGAAACTCACCTCTGCATCTTTTTCTCAAATGTAGTTAGCTCTTAGAAAGCTACATTTTTTTTTGGAAATAAACATCTGAAGTATGTGTAAGGTGCATTTTATTTCACTATCAATATCTCATAGACGTTATGGGCTGGGGCTTGTTGGGCCGCATCAAAGTCAGCAGAAGCCATTAATGCAGCTGTAAGGTATTTCAGTGATGCTCTTTCTTTGGGCAGTGTCCTGCATGCTGGGCAGAAGCAAAAGTGGCATTGTCTCATGTCTGCAGGAAGCATGACAGACACACCTGTGTGGGCACCGAAAACTTTCACCTCTGCTGGTTTTAGGGCAGCTGCTGGCCTAGCGCAACCACTGCACCTGGCATCCTGAGTCAGGACTCAGGAGGGACCTGATACTGGATAAGCCTGTCCTTAAACAAAATGTCCTCCCACCAAATCCTTAGTCCCCAGAAAGCTGACAAGCCTGTTCTCTGCTGGAAAGTTGGTGCACACAATTAAGAAAGCAAAATGTTGCTCCTTTCAATAAGAGCAAGAGCTCGGATCCTTGGAATTACAGGATAACTTAGCCTCTCTGTGTGGATACAGGATAGAAAGACAAGATGATGCTACAAAAAACTAGAAATCTGAATCTCTCAAAGAAGGAAAATGGGAGCCCTCTTGTATAACATGGAAAATATTGAACTAGAATAAAATACAACATTTTGTCTTCCATCCAAAAGGGCATTGCTTTTAGAACTCATGGTATGAAGTATATGTACTGTCCATAATGTGAGAAAGGAGTTAAAAAATCTGTACAGCTGAATGGGACTGAACTAATTTCCTAAAAAATTACCAAACTACTTTTAGGTACAAAGCTTGAGATTTGTAGAGCATTTCAGCTGAAAATTTCACATCCTGGAGCAGCATCCCTGACTATCCTGTGCAGGGATCTCCATCATGTTCAGTACAAATGAAACATTGCCAGATTTAATGAGATGACTAAAAAAAAAATTTAAAAATATTGTCTTTATGCTATTTTTTTTCCAGCAAATGGGAATCGACATATCTTTTTGGAAAAGCTCTTCTTCTGTTTAGGTTAAAATGCTATGCTGCATTGAATGTCTCAGTTTATAAATACAGAGTGGTTGGGGTTTTTGTCCTAGYTGAGGGTCTAGTTTAGGAAGAACAAGTAGGTAGAACTGGAAAATGAAAATTGAATATGATTATTTATAAACAATCATTACGAAGCAAAGCTGTATAACAACTTTAGCAAACAGATGGGCTATATTCCTAGAAGCCCTGTGCAAGCTGGCTTTTTCGTAAACACTGAAGAAAGAGTGTGCCTGAGTAGCAGATCTCAGCACTCTAAAGTCATATTGGCAGCTAATGGTTAAAGGAAACAGCACTAGGGTAATTAAAAAAAAAATTTAATTATTAAAATGTGAGATAAGTATTTGACTTTATACATACATCTTCCAGAATTAGTTTTACAATAAATTACTTGTTTATTTCTATTTTGTTTTGTTTAGATTTTTGGCTGTTTCATAGGAGAAAGTGATGGCATGCCTTCCCCTTCGAAAGAAAGCATGGTCTTTCTTGTATCTGAAAAACAGCAGATTACTCATTCAGGTGACATACTTCATCTTATATCACAAAATACTTTTTCTAAGGCAGTGTGTTGCTCACTTTTTTGAAAGTACAATGATAAGATCTGTCTTTGTTTATTCATGCTTCTTCTTCTTCTTATATGTTCCAAACTATATGGGTTTTTTACTAAATTCACTGCATCTGAATGCTCCACTGCTACATTTCCCAGTGATCCACATTCCTACATTATTTTGAAATTATGAACTTTTCTGAACCGGACTATTTTTTTATGCAGTTACTCGTCTTTCTGTATTTTTTGAAAAAATGTAGGAAGATCTAGCACATCCAGAATACATTAATGAAATTTAGAAATGCAACATGATTAATTAACTAAGTATAGAATAGAATAATATATTGCATCACTGCCTTGAATTTGGTACCAAAATGCATTTCAGGAAGACAAAATGTTCTTAGTATTATAATTCTATTTTTTTTTATGTTTTCCATGTCTGTAAGATTAAAAGTAATATTTTTTCATTGACAGTTGTCAAGAGAAAAGATGTGATTAAAGGAATGGTGAGGGTGCCCCTTCAGAACTTCATAGTAACAGCCTCTCAGAAAGGAGTGCTAAMTGTTTTTAGTGAACAGGTAATTCTAAATCAATTTTTTTATTATTCCATTAGGCAGTACACAGGGGAACTGATTGGACTTTGATCTAGAACTCAGGTTTTCCCATAAAAACCTAGATATCTTTCTTAACAAAGTTATTTTTTTTCTGTATTTTAGAGTACAGTAGGAAACATACATTGTTCTTTTAAAATATAAAACTATTAGACAGTCCACAGAAACTGATAGAAGGTAGACATGGCTACTAATAGATATTCTTCATAGAAATTTGTTTCATAGAAAATAATCTGCACTTCTGTTTAGAAAAGGTTTTCCTTAATACAAAATATGCTATTGGAATTAAATTTTCTATATAGAGTGGAAATCAGAAAATTAACTGTTTTCTACAGCTACTGAAAATATCTAGAATGGACAGAAACAGTTGTTTGCAAATAAGATTTATTCAGTCCAGCAACATCTAGAAGCTTGAAAGTTCTGAGTTTGACAACAGTCTGCATGACAGTTTCTGATTTACTGAGTTACTGATTCACAGTTAGTCCCCTCATCAGTAAACTGTAAGGAGATCTGTACCATTTTAAGTAGAAATTCAGACTTAAGATGCTCTTAAACTAAAATCTGTAAATTAATCTCCCAAATTATTATGTTACTATTTAGAGGTATCCACTTGCAGATGCTATGAGGTACATCATGCATCTATACTTGTTGGTGCTTTACATTCATACTATTTTAATGCAACAATTTTTTTAAAGTTATTTCAGACAATGCAGTAAAGCTTAAAAGCAGCATTAGTGCTTTCTAGGGATTTTAGCTAATTAGTGCATAATGCTTATGGCAGGAGCCTTTAAACCAAGAAGGACCTCCATGGATGATTAAACAACAAAGCGGTACTGCAGCTTTGGTAAATGCTAAAATAATTTATTTGAAAGCCTGGCCTCCAGAACATTATCCCTCTTACATATCTATGAAAAACAATTTCCCAAAGTATGAGATTAAAAATAGCTCTCTCCCCCCCCCGTACCTCCCCAGTCTATTTTCAGGTTGACTTGCTGCCTCCTCATAGGATGGATTGATGTTATCCGACATCAGTGACTACAATGTAAATGATTTTATACTCAGCTGCTTAAGACAGTGAATTAGGGACCTCAAATCCCACTTATAAAACTATGTTCTGAAAATGACTAAGGCATTATGACAGCCTCAAGATGTGCCAGGAGAGGATAAGATTGGWTATTAGGAATAATTTCTTTACCCAAAGGGTTGTCAAGCATTGGAACTGCCCAGGGAAGTGGTTGAGTCACCCACCCTGGAGGTATTCAAAAGATACAGAGAAGTGGCTTTTGGGAACATGATCTAGTGTTAGTTTTACAGTTGGACTKGATCACCTTAAAGATCTTTTCCAGCCTTCATCTRTAATTCTGTGATTTCATTTGAGGGCTGAGCATTGCTTTCTGCAATAAATGTGGGCCTAATACGCTTCAACACCGGTATACAGCTCTACACCATCAAACAGCTTACTACAGAGCATGAGACACTTACCTTTGTCGGACATGGATACTGCCTTGACTAGCAGATGAAATCGGTAGGAGTAGACAGCCTTAACAGCACACTCTACTTACTGTAGATAAAGCCAAGTCTGATAATAGTGGATGGATATCCATCTCTTGATTAACAATACCCTTAAACTATGCTCAAAGATTGCCCATGATCACACTTAGCATCTCACTTCTATGGGAAGAAAGACTTTCATCCTAACTTCTTTATTTTAAAATATGGAATAGCTGGGATAGGTATGCCATTTAATCATTACTGCTGAGGGGCAGGGGCAAGTGTGGGGGGAAAAGCATCTGTGGGTGTTTCAGAAGGGAAAAGKTTGAATCTGCTTTTGGAAACTTAATGGTTTTGTTAAAGGACATAGAAGGTAACCCTGTCTGTACTGGATAATGGTGACACTTAAAACTTCAGGTTTTGAGCTACATGCTACACTGTCTACCACTAGCGAAAGATGCTGTACCAGTGTGAGTATTCCTGTTTGCAGCCTGAAATACTGCCTCTGCCTGGCATTTTGCTGGCACTAGTTGACATGGCATCTGGGCCAGCATTTGCTTGGATTTCTRTATGACACATCCTATCTATCAGAGCAGCTAATGCTGTTTTAGGTGTCAATAACCATTAAAAGCACAATTCCATCCAAAGACCAGCTGATCTGTATTCCATTGTAAAAATGAGTATTTTTTACTTGTTTGCTCACTCCAATATCTCAATGTAAAAACCACAAACTGAACAAGAAATTATGAAACACTTGTGAAAAAAGAGAAGTTTTAAATTCCTCACTATGTACAGAAGAACAGACAGCAGGCAGCTTAAGGATCTTTCTAAGATCTTCACCRCCTACTCTTTCAGTTTGCAAATATTGTTCTAATCTGCCTGTGAAGAGATGACTTTGTTTAGACTTCTAATTTAAGTGCTAACTTGATATTGTGACAAAATCTTTTTTGATTTTTCAGATGAAGGTTCTGGCAACTCTCAATGTTGAAGTAAGTTCTCTTTTGTCTCCTTTCTGTTAAATAATTTTAAGTAAAGATCAGCATGTACTAAACTAAAAAAAATTAGAAACTGAGCATTATTCTAATATCACTTCTAACTTTGAGACTTTTGCATGATTTGTCATAGGGAGCTGTAGGTCAAATAGTTTCAATTCATTCCTTTTAGTTACAGAAACAATTCAGTAACTTGATTTCTTTCCTCTGATAAATGAAACCTCACATAAATGCTGGTTTTTTTCTACCAAATTGTCCTTTATCCATTACCTTGCCAGGATTTTTTCTTCTAAAATCCAAAACTTCAATTGTCACTGTAAAATTTAAATAAGTAAAATTCTAAGTTTGTTCATGAAAAATAGTTCTAAGTTTTACTAGGTAGATGATTGGCTACACAGTATATACATTAAGACCTCATGTAGAGGTTTTACGTCTTATAAACCCTGGGAGTATCACTGCAGATTTTAGGTAATGAGYTTCTTTCAGATGACCTGTAGACAAGAGACATTAGTCTTAGCAAAGTGATGTGACCCTGTGTCCTAAAAGTCCATGTAGGTCTCTTGTACCAGGAGGCAGTGCATTTTGTTGATTCTCTCTTGCATATTGTGGGAGTCCTAGAATTCAATAGAAGTACTCCACACCAGAGGCTTTACTACTCCAACTMAGAAAATAGCTCTGAGCCTGAGTTGAATTTAATTTATTGCAAGGGCTAATCTGACCTGTGGAATCAGTGCAGAGAGGCAACTATGAGAAATATTGTTAAGACCCATGGACTTTTGGAAACATAGACTAGAATTAGAGCTTCTCCTACGGGTGTGCTACAGGAGAGAATTTCAGTTGTTCCAGCTTTGCTTGTAAGAGCTGCTTTCTCCAATCCAAATATGCATAGGATCTCCCCCAGAGATACCAAGCGGAAGAAGCTGGAAAAAGCTGGAGTGTTAGCCCGATGCTGCAGAGGACTGCAGGGTCTCTTTCCTTTCTGAGCTCTAAGGACTTGTCTTAAAATGATTCCTCAATGAATCTGAAGGTCTTTTTGCTGCAAAAGTAGCACAGTATTTGGCAGCTGTGGCAGTCTTAGGCGCCACTGAAGGACATCATTGCCATTAAAAGTGGGAAAGAAGGGTATGTTTAACCTAATGATATCTCTCTGTGCGATGGTGTAATACCATAATTGTGAGGATTGTGATTTCAAATACAATACTAAAGCTGGTAGTTTTAGTGTCTGTGAGCASCCACTTGTTTCAGCTCTGTATCATATCTGTGTGGGCTGCCATGTTCTGCTGTCATTGTAATTATAGGCCAGTTTCCSATTCTTTCCCAGCTGAGATATTTTCACTTTTTCAGCCTTTCCTAAAGACAGAAGAAGTAGGTTAAAAATAGTTTGGATTSTTCTCCATGTTTGGGATGGAGGATCATTGCTGCTGGGGATCATTTGATCGGCTGTGATCATTACTGCTGAGTATGACAGTCTCTACTGTATAGTGTCTTTCAGAGGAAAATCTTTGGTTTCTCAGGGGCATTTGGTTGACTGTGGAGCTGACAGTTGGTGAAAAGATAAACACATGCTCACCCTGTGAAATCCCTCTGGTTCTATATCTGAAAGATTTTATGGTATTTGGTGATGTCATTTTAGCTTTGTTGAGGTTATTATATTTACATTTTTGGTATCAGAGTTACAAAATTTTCAGATGACTTAATTAAAAATTACCCTTTTCTGCTTTGTGCTCTGCCTTGTCTTATGGAATTGGAATTTTTATCTAATATTCTTATTTAAGTGAATGATCCTACCCTTGTTCAATTCAATTTATTCTCATGTTTCCTCTAACTACTACACAGAAAAGAGAATTAAAAAGCCTTTTGTTGGAATTGAGGTTCCTGAACTTTTTGATGGTTATTGAAAAATTTTAATGCTTGTAGAATGTAATATTTTATGTTTGTTCTTTAAATTTAAATTCCCAAACTGAAATGAAATAAAATTCTGGATTACCTTGAATACCACTTTCCAGAATGATGAAATGTATGATGCTATTAAATTTATTAACTTGAGGACTCTTTGAGAGAATCAATGAATTCATTCTAATGTAAAACATGCTTATAAAAACTGAAGCTTTGCATCTCAATACCTCTAATCTAAACACTTACTAAAAATCAAAGTACAATATCTTATGAAAGTATAAATCATCACCCACCAAGTACTTATTAAAGATATGGTGAACAATACTTGTTGAAGACTTCAGCACCAAATGATCATAATGTACAATTACAAATAATAGCTTATGATTAATATCTAAATACCTAACAAAAAAAGATGACTGCCTTTCAAGGCTTACATTTCACTTTTTCTGATCTGCAGAAATAATGACATATTCTTTTCTCACCACAATTATTATGCGGTTTTCAGTTGTTTTGATATCCTCAATAGTGGCATCAATAGCTAACTGATAAAGCTATGTACTTTTGTGCACCTGCCTGCAAATGTAGTAAGGTTCTGAATTCAGGACTTATWCAGAGATAAGTTATCAGACTCCAAACCTTCTATCCATTGATAGTGACGCATCTAGAGGGTGGCTTACAGATTTAAACAATTCTTGTGTTCCTATGCTTTCTTCCATTCAGTGTTCTCATTCTTGAGATGTTTCAGAATAGAGACCTACTCAAGCAGAGTGATAGAGGTCTTGGCCCTGAGGATAGTAAAGCAGAAAGACTGTGACACATAGTAGTGCTAGAAATAAAATCCAGTGGAATGCAGCCATCAGAACTTTCCTAGCATAACGATGGTATAAATGGAGCATGAACTACCGCATACATTAGTTAAAGGGATAAACTTCACTTCAGGAAAACCCGATTTCATTTCTTGATGAAATTAAGTGACTGAGTGAAAAGAGTAGAGGCATAAATATAACACGCTTTAAACTCTATACAGTATTTGGCTTAGTACCACATGACCTTCTGGTTTAAAATATAATGACTGGGGAAAAAACCACTAGAGTGCATTGATTAACAATTGTCCAGCTGACAGGTTCAAAAATAGCTATCAGCATAGAATCGTTGCTGAATGGTGATGTGAATACTGGTAGTGAGCAAATCACTTCTTTCAAAAATAGAAATGAAATGTCTTTTCAATATAGCATAGAAAAGCATAAACAGACTCAATGGATGAGCCAAAGTGAAACAGAAGCTGTATTGAAAACAAAGGAGGAAAGATAAGAGCCCTTGAGTGACAGGATGGAATAAGAAAATCATGAAAATGTTGATCAGATACAGCTGCCTAGTTGTCTGTCAAGGATGGCAGTGCTAAGAGAAATTCTTATAACCTTTCCTCTAAAGCTGAAACCTGCTACTTCGACTGCCTCATCACAAGCTAATATAACAAATTAGTGACTTGACTACAAATTTAAAATCATCTTTTTCAAGCCAGTTAGTCATTGTTATCTGACGCTATTATAAGGACCTCAAAAAGATACAGTTAACAAAGTCTTCCAGAAGAATTGCCAAACAATCCATAAGACCTCTGCGGGACCGACATTTTCCACATATTTATTGTACTAAAGGGCACAAAAAAATCCTCTGTCAGGATTTTGCACTCTTTACAGTAAGAGCAATGCAATGGAAATAAAAATAGAAGCATCGGGAGTCTGATCTATACTTTGCAAAMGCAATTATTTTACATTAATACCTATATAATAAGAGGAATATGTGAACAATTACTTAATAGGGATAGATGTATGTATTTTTAAATATTTGATGTACCTATTGGGAGAATTATAATATTTGATAAAGTGCATTATTTTCATAAATATTCATTTCAGTGGGGTTTTTGTTACTATAGCTGAAGTTTTGACTGCCTTCAAATGTATTTCATTTCAAAGCAAACTGTATCCAGGTAAAAGCTCAATCTGCTTTACTATGGATGTTTTAGCTTAAGCTTCTTCTGCTTAGAGTGTTTTTCCAGAGTGTCATTACAGTTCAACTAACAGTATATGTGTGTTGTGTCCTCTCATGTGCAGCATTTGTGCCTCTGAGGTGAGTCATTGTTAACAGAGGTTAAGCCTGGTGCCTCTGTAACTTAATGTCTGAGCTATTCCTGGAATTAGAACTCTATATCTCATACATGAACTGGGGCTAGACCCAGCAGGAGCTGGTGCAGAGTATATATAATTTATGTAGGAATTGTTTAAAATATGTACTTACATGATAGAAAGGTTGATAAATTTACAGAGAAAATCCTTCTTTAGATACTCTTTTTATTTTCATCAGGATACTGCTTGGATCACTGGATGTGATTTCCTACCTAATCTGAAATATGTTGTGGCTGTAACTGAAAACACAATCATTCTCTGGGACTACAGACCAAAAGAAACCAAGGTATTATGTTGGATCAGACAAATGCCAAAATGAAACCTGAAAGCTGATCAATCTTTTTTTTCCAATATACATTCACATCGCTTTGGTCTAATAGGATGAAGGCTTTTAATTGTTGTGTGTAGGAACTCAGTGAAACAGTGGAATTCACACTAAAGGAGGAATTCTCTTTGCACACCAAATGGGATTATTAAAGTATATTAAAAGTTTGGAAGAAAATAAAAAAAAAAAATCATGCTATGGTGCAAAGAAACCCCCAAAAAATTATTTATGTGCATCTAGTGCATKCATGTGCACCTGTATATCTAATATGTGTGCATGGGCAGATAGGTATCTTAGAACCTATTAAGAATCAAGGAACAGGTTTTCCAAGGAATATAACATAAATTCTTTTTGAGGTAACTTYCTGATCTAAAAAAAAATATTTCTTCATATCCTGTATTTTTTTCCAGACATTCTAAGAGCAAAAACATTTTGATGTTCATGTATGTCCAAATTGTTAAAGTTTTCTTGAATGCCTTATGCATTTTCCCGACCTATATCTTAGTTTTTTCCTCCTGTTCCTGAGACTTCTTGGAAATTGCAAGTTAGCTGAGATGATAAGGAGAAGCAAAGTAAATATTTTAGGGTAAGATTGGCTTAAGATTTAGGGTTTGGTTTTTTTCAKTATTAAAGGGTTGCTTCCCAAGCTCAGGTCAATTTAAGTCTATTTGTCAACACAACTGGACTTCTGGGAGAAAAGCTTAGAAATATATTCTCCACTTATTATTCTCCAAGTTCCCTCCAGTCATTGCATCAGTAAGAGCTGCAGGTATCCTGTTGATGAATAGGTGAAGCTCTCTTTCAGACCATAGAAACAGTATACAGACAGTTCTATAKGTCTGTTATGTGTCTTTAATGTTTCTGTGCTACAGATAGCTTTGAAGCAGTTAATTCCTATGGCCTGTGAACACTTCCCAGTTTAGGTTGGCAAGGATGCTTTAATCAAATAACAGATGAAGTCAGGCAGAAGAACCAATAAACAGTGTAATGCAGAAGACCTCAAACCCCTTTCCTGGGTCTTCTAGCAAAATACCACAATGACTTGCAACTGTATTCATTCTCACTATCTCTGTGCTTCCAAAATTGAAACACCTGCCCATATAAGTACACTTGGCATTCCCAAGTTGTAGTATCAATTAGGAATCTGATATAGTTTCTCCCTGTCTGTTGCTGCTATATTTTGTGGTTTGAATTATTCTTTAATTTTATTTCCAATTTCCAATTTCCTTGTAGACAGCATTTTATTTAACAGGAAACCACATACAGTCTTATCAAATRTGCCAGCCCACATAGCATGCAAAGATCCTTCCTAGAATTTAATGAAGTAATTAATAGAAATAATTAATAAAAGTAATTAATACTTCTTCACTAGAATGGAAAAAGCTACCTATGAAATAAAGTCTTGCTGAAACCCTTAAGTTTTGCTTTTAACTCCACTTGGTGATGATCTTCCATGAGTTTCTGATACAGGGAAACAGCTATCACAGGGGCAGCTTGAAAAAAAAAAAAAGTCAAGAATCAAACACTGATGTAACTTGATAAGTGTGATAGATTCAGTTTAAGGGCCCTCGTGCAATATCTAATAAACTCTCTACCTATTCCACAGTATGAAGGCTTTGTCATCAAACCAATGAAAAACTGTCTGCTCTGTGTTTGTACGGTGACTATGGCAGATAACTTGCCTAGAGATACTATCTTAATGGGAGATGATAAGGGTTACATTTACCTGCTTACTATGACTAGTGATGACTTCATAATGAAGCAATCTAGAGCCGACAAAGAATCACAATTTAGGTTCTTCGACTCCGAATCCTTTACCATGTAAGTTGTTTATGATAAAATATTATCAGTCTTGCATTCTGTTTGGGTTTTAATTCTGATTTTGCTAGCCCTAAATAGAGGATTAACTTCTATTTATAAATTAACCCCATCTAACCAAAGCAAATAATCTTTCAAACTGCGGTAAGTATGATTTGCTTGTTGCTCTGTGAAGGAAATGCCATTAATTTCAATAGMAGATTTTACAAGAGATCTTACAACAGAGAGGATGCAGAATAAAATTCAAGGAGAGAATTCGCAATTAATGTTATTCTGTTTGACAAAGAAACAGCTTTATTGTGCCAAATCAGGTGGAAGAATGATTGTGACTGGAAGAGTGCATGATTAAACCCCGACTTTCTCTCTGCTTGCATTTGAGCTGTAAGAGTGATTCTGTATCTGCCCTGGATATTAAATTAGCATTGGTTGTGCATATAATCTCACTGAAAAAAATCCCTGTCCACCTTCAGATGCATCGCTGTCGTTGCTACTGTAGCCTAAAAACGTCTCCATTTGTATCCCCAGGCTTAAACGCAAGCTACATGATGACTGGGTTGGGAAAGTCAGGTATATTTCTGCCCTAAAGCGTTTTGCATCCTGCTCCACAGACAGTACTAAATCATTTGTTTTGGATGACATAAAGCGATTAGAGGACAACTTGTAAGTATCTGATATCTAGACAAAAATAGACCTGCTTTATAACTGTGCTGGAAATCAGTGCCTTGCAAGGTGTCATGTTGTTGTACTGAAGCTGCCTTTTCTATAAGCATTGTTAATGAAAACATAAATACAATTGCTTAAGTGCTTGAATATCTTTGTGTGCTAGATTTTGATGTAGAAGATTGTCCATTTATGTTCAGTACTCACAACCCTTAAAATACATTACGTTGACAGTGTTGTCTCTTCCAATTTCTCCTCAGCAAGCAAATTTTAGTTAGAAAATTGATTGATTTGTTGCATGCATATCATGTACCCATTCATTTAAAATTTATACCCAGACAAAAATAAACTCAGCTAGGTTTCATTCACAGTTTTAGTCTCACAAGTTTGAGTTACACTAGATTAAACCAACAACGCAATTTATTTTGAGGGCTATGAAATGGTGTTACAAAGCAGCAGGAAAGAGGTCATGGCCTCCTTATTTGTGCCACATCCTTCTTCATACGGCACATCAGTTCCATAGCTGATTCCAAGCCTTATTAGTCTGTGAATTTAGAAAAGTTTATAGCACAATTAAATAATACTAATTCAATTTGATTTTTAAAGGAACTATAAATAACATATAGATAGAACTTCAAATGTTTCAAAGCATTGTAAATATTATGTCTGCTTCACAATTCCACTGTGAGGTACATCCAGAGAGATTAATTAATTTTAAGGCTAGCAGCTACAATTATTATAATCTGTTTTATTTCTTGTATAACATAGGCAATAAATATTCATGCAGTAATTCTTGAACCAATACAGTAACCTTAGGTTTTATGATTATTGCATGTATGTTGAGGATGGGGAAAGTGAACTATGAAACACTTATAGATTATACAAGTTCACATACCTGTGTCAGCTGAAAAGCTGACAAATCCTGTTTGTTTTTGTTGAGAGTTTTAGAAAAATAGAATTAATTAGAAGAGAAGAAAACTAAGTCTGCAGAACCAAAAGTCTGATCAGCATAGATGCTACCATYATATACTTCAATAAAAAACATTAACTGCAGATATATTCATAGCTCTTTTTCTTATTACACTGGCTATGGTTTGTGTCTCCAAATGCAAGAAAKGTGTATCTCTAAGCAGTTTCACACAACAGCTAAATGAAATTATATTTGGACAACTGAAAAATTATGTAGCTGTTAAAATGAAATTAACAGTCCTAAAAATATCTATGGATCAAATAACTTTGAAATGTCCATTTAATAAGTAACTAGTTTAAACATATGATTTACTGGTTCTAACAAAATAAATTTCTGCAACAAACTTTGCAAGAAGGAATTAGTATTGTACTTAGGCAGGGATGCAGTGCATCTTCTCTCTTATGTGACTAAAGTTTCTTTGTCCATARTGGCTGGTGAAGAGCTATAACCTTTCCTTGTAAAGTATCTAAAAAAGGGAGGTATAAATATGATCCTTCTGTGCTTCTGTTGCAAGGCCATGGCTTAGACAGGGCTTCATAGTGCCAAAATCCCTTATTCTCACTCATCTTGGAAGAGCATCAAGACTGCTCAGTAAAGACCTAATAGACAGTTAAATAGAAGTATAAAAGGTAAAAAAAAAAGTAGGAAATCTGTTAATCAGACATTTAAATCAATAAATTGTTATTTTATACTGTCAAGAGAATTGAGACTTCTTTGTTAGAGCTCTAGGAAGAAAACTTTGCTTACTCTAATTAGTAGAAAGCAAACAGCCTATTTTTAATACCTGCCTAGAAATAACACTTTCATTAATCCTTAAAATTTCCCGATTCTTTTGTCAGATTTATTGTAACCCCCATTTAAGGTTTTCAATTTTAATGATTACTCTAGCCCAGAATGGATGAACTAATACTTGTCTGAATTTCAAATGAAAAATTAAACTTATATTCATTTAGTTCTATAAAGCATATTTACACTGACAGACATTGTTTCAGGTGTTAACCCTTCTATTGCTACATCCAAAAATCAATAAAATATTCACTTATTAGTAGCCATGGATGAAACATGGATAGATAAGCAGAAGTTGCTGAAAGGATGGGTTTAGAAGGGGCACTGAATCAATCTCAGTCTGTGTTGTCAGTTTGAATTCTCGTGCTTTAGCAGTGAATGTAACAGACTAACTTCTGAGTTTCAGATACTTGTGGTCTCTTCATGTTGTTCTACAACACAAAATACACCATGTAAAGAACATTCATTATGAAATACATTATACAAAAGCAGCAGAAAATTAACTGCACTTACTTAATGTATCACTGAGATCACAGTAGACCTCCATGTCTGAAAAAGGCAAACACAGTTGCTTTTCTCCTGTGATTAACTGCTTTAAACACACACGCTTGTGTGCAGCTTACTTTGGCAGTAGCTACCATTTTAGGAGTCTGTTTGGAATTTGCTTGTTAAAGAATTCAGGTGTGCAAATCATATATTTATTTCTTTAATGGAAATTGCACCCTGTTTCTGTTTCATTGATGTCAGTATAAGTCTCTCTTGTAAATCAATTTGCTTTTAACAAGAGATTGTATACATTATGCAAACAACTATTCTATGTACTATAGAAAAATAAGGTGGAATGACTGTAAACTGTATTTTCCTAATATTTCTTACATGATTGTTTTATTATCAATTGCAGACCTGTAAAGGAATTTTCTGTCCCTAAAGGAGTAAATGCCTTCACATATTGTGGAAAGACAAAAGTCATTGTCACTGGAGGTAAGTAATAGGGTTTTTTTCCAAGAGATTGTTCTTGGAAAAAACTGTGAATTTTTTACTTGCAGTTAGATTAGATCAAATAAAGCTGAGTTAGCATCTGAAGATTTTAAATAATGTCTTCTGCCTACAATTAGAGGAAACAGAGGCCTTGCTTTTAATTGCTGGGAGCCCTCATCTGAAGAGGAGAGTAGAGGATAGGAAACTCTCAAGTGCTCCATCTGGGTTTGATTCAAGTATCATTTATATGCTAAAACAGAAGAAATAGTATGTTCAACTACTGTAAATTATCTTTCCAAGTCACAGTGGTCTGGGCCACGTTATACACTTTTTTCCTTGCTGTATCAGCAGGGCTGCCACCCTATTACTCTTTGGCCAACCTTTCCTATCTTAAGCAGCCACTTGTCTTAATACTTTTCATTGGTTGATCATATTTCCCCAAAGTGTTACTGTTTGTTCTTCCTACAAAGCAGACTGCAGGAATGGCACTCTTACATCCATTTCTTGCCTYTTATCCAGTACCTGTCTACTGCAGTGGTCATATTTGATGCTGCAGAAATGTTGCTAGAGTATGGCAGCAATTTTGTTGATATATTCTGACTGGGTGGTGCCCCGGAGTGACATTGACACTGCTGTTCTACAAGTCTTTTTTGCTTAAAACTTTGTTAAAAAAATTGCAACAGCAAACATAGGAGTTCTTACATCTATATTTAACAAGAACCAAAAATAATGGCCAGGACTTTCGTCTCCAGCCTAGATAATATACATGGCAGTAAACTAACTAAAAAAAAAAAAAAAAAAACAAGAAGGTAAAGCACAAAAACCCAAACAAAAAAACCCACAGCAACCAAAATACCTAGACATGGGGAATAATGCAATTCATGTTTAATTGTAACAGTTTACCAAGAGGAAAATTGTGACAGATACCAAAATGGTCTATTGATTTTCTAGATGCAGGATTTAAAGGAAAAGCAATAGAGCTAGAGARGAGTTAGTGAAAATTCTGAAGTTCAGCCTTGGAGGAGATACTGTGTACATTGATTACCTTGTCACAAAAAAAGTAGTCTGGAGAAATTTACTGATTACACAAATTAGGGAGGTCCTATCGCAAAAAATGTGGTTCCTACAGGTACAAAATACTGGTTGAAATATCTGTTATRCAAGTAACAAAGAACTGACTTCTCTGAATTCGACACATGTAGTGGAATTCACTGTATCATTGATATACACCATGTTTAAGATTACTTGAATAGAAGAAAAGGGTGGGGTAAATCTTATAAAACTAGAACAGAATCACAGAATATTGAGTGGAAAGGGACTCATAAGGATCATCAAGTCCAGCTCTTAAGTGAATACAATGATTGAACTCACAGCTGTGATGTTTTCAGCAGCAGGCTCTAACCAACTAAGCTAAGCTCTAACTGCGCCATTGTGCAGAGATTAAAAAAGTGTATTTTCAAAATAACAATTAACAAGGAATGCCACTTATGTCTATTAGAGCAAAAATTAGAGTAGTGATGTTCAGGAAGAATCTTCTGAATAGTGGCAGATGCAGAAAAATATCCTGTTTGGAATGGAGCTTCAAATTTTTGAAAAGGTTAGATTGCCTAATYGTTTGTGATGGTTGGAGCATAGTCTTTGAATACAGAAGCTCCTATTCCTTCTAAACACCTACCTAATCAGAATAGTTTAGAAGCAGATGAGTTTTCTCAGCRCCAAATTTTAATTTGTTTTTACATTCACTGCACAGAAGTACTGAAAATGTAGGCAACATGAAAAATGTTTGATAATATTGTGTTTAAGGACTTTGTAATGATGATTTTGGTGATTTTGAAAAAGTGTAAGAAATTGTACTTACTTCTAATAATCTTCCTGTCTATTCATAATATTTACATACCCTTGAGTTGGAATCCTGTCACCAGCCTTTTTCTTGTTGTTGAAAGGTGTCCTCKTGCCTCTCACTCTCATTCCCAAAGCTTAACCCTGCTTCTCCCCTTGAATATGAAATGAAATTGTTCCTGAGCTGGATTACTAAGTGTCACAGGACACAGTGGGAATGCATGTTCAAAGGCAAAGACAGGGTGGGATCATCTCTTTTAATTTCATTTTGAAGTTAGATCAGTCAGGGCCTACTCTGAAGCTGCACCCAGAATTTAGAATAATGCTACAGATCTTGGAACACCCATCTACTAAATCCTTCAAAAGCTGAGCTTTAGAATTCTGTGATCTGTTAATGAAATACACTGCTCAGTACATTGTCAAGCTGGAGCACATTACGTTTGCCTCTGGATCTTAAAATTCTCACCCTTGACTAACAGAGAAACATACGCTGATGATCCAATTAATGACAGACTTAAACTATTTTAAATGAACACTAGCTAATCCTGTTAATTAGGGATACTGCAATTTTATCTGTAATATACCCTGAAAACCAAAGACCATAACAGGTAAATCATTCAGGATTCATAATATATAGACTTTTTGGTGACACGTTCAATCATATGTAAAAGCTATGTTTATTTGTCACATTTAGCAATGAAAATAAAAGAAAAATCCAGCCTTTGATTGCAGACTAGTTTCTGTAATATTCAGCCAGGGTAAACCTGCTAACTATTTTACTAAGTCCCAACTTAATTGTATTTAGCCAGGTGTTTATAGCACAAATGGAATTCTACATACTCTGATAAATTATTATTGTGACTATTTTAAAAGCCACATTTTAATGTCCTTACTCTTCCATCATTTCTTTGTATTTGATTATACTCATAAGTTTCTCAGTACTGTGACACAACCTAATTTTGTCTTCTAGATATTTGACATTTACAATAATGAATAAGATAAAAAGCAAAGCTGGTACTGAGTTCACTTTTCATGCATAAGGCTTGATTTCAACTGTAAAATGATAAAATTTTGATAGTGGCCTAAAATATGGAGCCTAGAGTAGTTTTAAATAACTCTCTGTATAGCATTTTGCATTAATATTATGTTGAATGGTAAAGTTACATGGCTCTCTTCTTTTTCTGTATTCATTTCAATTCCAGCTATGTCTTAATCATCGCTTCAGGGAACAACTGCAATTRAAATCAAATTAGGTATGCATATAAAAGTGGGAAATGCTCAGTTTTAACTGATTCATCAACTCCTAATCTTATTTGTTCTTCAAATCTGGCTGTTGTTCTCCAGTGAGCAATGAAGCAGAAGAAAAASTATTAGTGATTTCTAAATCTAGCAGAAACAGATTAAGACTGCTAAAAGGAACTACTCAATGCTTGTTCAGTTTCCTTTGAGAATTCCTGGAACAAGTGAAGCATATTTTCAGGAATTCCCAGGAATCCTAGTGATAGAAATCAAATGCCAGAGCTCCTCTAATATTAGCTCTCAGCAGCATAGCAAACTCATTTCCATGATGCAGTCTAAAATTAGGAAGAATATACAAAGACAGACAAGGAAGCATAAAGAAAAAAAAAMCAACAGAGACATTTGTCAGTATGAAAAACATTTGAATTTTTGCTAGTTTAGCAGATGTTTGACTGTTCTGAAGAGGTTTTACAGACATTATAARGCAAGATTATTTAAAAGATATATTTGAGGAAAAGACAAGTTCTTTTAACGCATAAGGAGTTTTCTATATGAGGGTAGCAGCCTAGAAAGAAACAGGAGTTATATTTTTCATTTCAAGTCTATCAAGGATGCTAGGCTAAGCCTAGTATTTCCCCATTCAAAAATGTTATTGTTCTCAAGTGTGTTTCAACATCACTGAAATGCAGACATCTCAGCAAACTTGTAATACCACACAAATTGCTAAGTTGTGTCAGCAAGACAGTTTGATGAAGCATCACATGTTCAAAGTAGCTGTTTGAGTCCATAACATCTATCTAGAATAGACCTGTGATTGTAGAATCTGACTTCTAAAAAAACTCTAAACATCTGTTTTTATAATTATTTATCATGGAAAGGACCACACTCAATTGAATCTGTTTTGATTCAAATAATTGATTTCACAAAATCTTAAAAATTTGCTGTTGGATACGTAGGCAAATCATCTTCAAGGTTTTCTTGAATGTTCTTTATACCCACGCTTTCGGTGTGAGGATTCTGAATCCTGGAGGCATATTTGGAGCATGGAGAGAACAAATGTTCCAGGAAATGTTCCAGTGTAGCAGTGAATGTTAGGGCCTATCTGGCAATAGTCCAGAAAGAGAGAAGAGAGCACACGTACTATAATAAAATCTACCATTATTTCCACATCAGTAAAAGGAAGTGAAATTAATCCAATACTTCACATGAAAAGCAAACAGTATTTGTAAAATAGGGAAAGGTTTCCTTCCCTAAAGTCACTTTATCTTCCTGCTAATATCTGAAGTACATAACGCATTAGTGATTCTACTCTTAAAAGAAACTCTCTGTACCAGAATTAAAGGGCACTATCTTCCCCTTCAATCATCTGCCAACACTTCAGGAATATAAAGAAAAGAGCAGTTAGGAAGACCAAGAAATATTCTGTTCCTCAAAAGTGCGGCAAGGAGGTAGTCACGTTGATCAAAAATTTTCAACAACTTCTAYTTGCTTCACCATCATCTTAAGTAAGACATGACCGTTTCCATCTGGGACTGGTAAGGGGTATGTTGTTGAAGTAATGTTTGTTCCCTCTGATGTTATAAACAATCTCACCAGTCTCACTGGAGGCTTCTGTCTACTATATCTTGTGTCCTTCTGTTGATCTCATGGGAGGTCTGCAAGCTGAGTTTTACTCCCATGGACTTGTTTCTCAGTTTATACTGATTTGGTCATAAGGGTTCTGCTAACTTGCAGGACATGTCTGGGACAGCCTAACACAAAATCTAGAAGTGAGCAGGGATCCACAGTGTTCTGGACTTTCCCCATCCAAAAAGGATTCATCAGCTATTTGTGCAGTTATAACTCATTTAAGCTACTTCCTGCCATGCTTATATCATATACAGATTATCTAGAGTAGTTTTGCTTGAAGGCTGCCCCGAAAAAGAAACTGTTCCCCCTAAAGTTACAAGCCAGTCAGCTACTCACTCATGACCCTCCTTTCGTGTGCAGTTCTCCCTCCATTGTGCTGATACATGCTGTTTGCATGGTTGAATTCTGAGTCACACTTGTGAAATGAGCTGGCATAAAACAAAATGGCTTTCTGTTGTAGCTATTTTAAGAGTAGATTATTCCTTCAGTGAGCATCTCTCATTTAGAGAGATGCCAAACAGTGGACTCAATTTAACTGAGAGAACATCATTGTTTAATGGAGGAAAATGGAGATCGGATGCTCCATTAATCTTGCTGTATTAAGAAGGAAGRGAACAGATTTCTGGAGAGAGAAATGGAAGAACTGACTAAAGASAGTAGGTTGAAGAAGCTTAAGGAAGTTTATTAACATAATTGAGCTGACTGCTTAACATAATTGAGCTGATTCTCTTGGAGCATGTAATTCCAAATCTATGGTTTTTTTGGCTTTGCTCTTCGATTTAAGATGAGAGCAAACTAAAACTCAAACTGAAATCTAGACAAAATGTGGCTATTTCATTTATTGTGKGTCAAATGTGTCAGTGTTCAGCTAACTGCATACAATTCATACAATTGCAATATTTGCGAGAATTGAAAGTTATTAAGTAAGTTTTTAACACCTTTGTGCTTTGAAATATTTATGAAAACTATTAGCAAAGTAGTACCAGAATATTCAGCAATAATACAATCAAGGATTATTCCTAAAATTGTAGGCAAATTCAAAGTCTGAACATACAAGTAAGTATGAAATACCTAATTCTCATTTACTTTGCAACAAACTCAATTAGCAGCAGTTASTGTTTCCTATCTGCCCTAAATTTTAATGCCCACTTCTTTCTGCATGCTTGCCTTCTTCCATAAAGGTGGTTACCTCTTAATGTCCTGGCTAAGCTGACTCAAAAATTATATAGACATTTTTCTAAATTACATCTTTGAAGGAAACAAAATCTGAGCTCCAGATGTGTTTCTTTTWAAGTACTCTGCTCCTCTGGGACTAGTCCATGTAGTCCCATCCAGTGTCCCTGCCATTCCTCTAGCAAAATAAAAAGGCTTTGAAAGGTGAATCAGTTATGCCTTTTTAATACATGTTTGGGAATAAGCAATGAAACATAAGCTGGATCCAGCCCTTAGAATGAAAAAATCACATCTTTATGTGGGAGTAGTCAACATGAATGAAAGGACAGGCTTCTGAACACTAAACTCTCAGTTAAAAAAATAATTTGTAATACATRTGACTATTTGGTCTTTCTGACTACATATACTATTTTTTCTTTCAGGTAATGACAGAATCCTTCGTTTGTGGAATCCTGCTGTTAATTTTTGTCCTACAGGGAAGCTCTTAGGACACAAACACAGTGTTGTGGAAATTGTGACAAATGAGAAAGATCAACATGTCATCAGCCTTTCCTGTGCAAAGGTAAAAAACTTCTCTGAACCTCATAAAAATAGGGTTGGAAGAAGGATCCAGAGAAGGACAGGCTTGTCAGCCTGATCTAAGTGCCCTGCAAAGTGATGGAACAGATATCTGGAGTGCAAGCACACCATGCATATAGGACAACCAAGGAATCAGGTCTGACCAGTAYGGGTTTAGGAAAGGCAGGTCCTGCCTTACCAAGCTGGTCTCCTTTTATGGCCAGGTGACCCACCTGGTGGGTGAGGAGAATTCTGGACTGGTTGCTGGTCCAGGTAGGCAACCAGGACTTCAGCAAAGCCTTTGATACTGTCTCCCATGGGATTCTCCAGGCCCAGAGAGTGGTGAATGGTGCTGCATCCAGTTGGTGGCCAGACTTCACAGCTGAACCCCATGGATAGTATTGGATTCAGACMTATTCAATATCCCTGTTCATGACTGGGTTGAAGGGACCAAGTGCACTCTCAGTAAATTCACAGATGACACCAAGTTGGGGGAATAATGATGTGCTGGAGGGTAGTAGGGCTCTGCAGATTCATCTGGAGAGGCTGGATTGGTGAGCTGAGGCCAACATTGTGAGGTTCAATAAGACCAAGAATCAGGTCCTGATTCAGGCCACAGCAACCCCAGGCAACATTCCAGGCTGGAGACAGAGTGGCTGGAAAGCTACCCAGAATARGATTCAGGCGTATCAGTTAACAGCAGCTTAACATGAGCTGGGAGGGTGGCCAGGTTGACAGGAAAGCCAATGGCATCCTGACCTGGATCAGCAATAGTGTGGCCGGTGGGACAAGGGCAGTGATTGCTCCCCTGTACTCAGCTCTGGTGAGGCCACACCTCAAATCCTGTGTCCAGTTTTGGGCCTCTCACTTCAGGATGGACATTGAGGTGTTGGAGTTCTTCCAGAGAAGAGCAATGAGTCTGATGACGGTTCTGGAGTTCAAGTCCTTTGGGGAGTGGCTGAGGGAGCTGGGTGTGTTTAGCCTTGAAAAAAAGGAGGCTCAGGGGAGACCTTATCACTCTACAACTGCCTGAAAGGAGGATGTAGCCAGGTGTGGGTCATCCTCTTCTCCCAGGCATCTAGAAACAGGATAAGAGGAAATGGCTTCACAATGTGCCAGGGGAAGTTTAGGTTTAATATTAAGAAGAATTTCTCCACAGAAAGGATTGTTAAACTTTAGAATAGGCTGCCCAAGTGGGTGGTGAAGTCACGATCATTGGAAATGTTAAGAAACAACTGGAAATGGAACTTAGTGTCATGATCTGCTTGACAAGGTGTTGCTTGGTTAGAGGTTGGGCTCAGTGGTCTTGGAGGTCTTTCCAACCTAAATTATTCTTTGAGTCCATTAAATCAGTGCTTTAAATTSAAGTTGGAATCTATTTTTGAATAAGTACTTCTGATAGTAATTGCTTATCAATTTGTTTATTTTAATAAAAAGGCAGAGTTTTAGCTTAAAATTTCCAAATTCTTTTATACTGAGAATCAATGCTAGAATGGAACTATTTGACATATTATCTTCCTGATTGTGTCAAAAGAATACTTACAATAGAAGATATTAACATTCCAGTAATTTCTGTATTATTTCAGCAACTGCCAGAGTTAAAACAGAGCCTGTACTTGAATGCTTCATTCAATAGTGATCACCTGCAAAACTTCCTACAATGCTTTTGCCCTTCTCTCTGCCTGCCAGCCTGCTAGATCTGACTATTTCTGGTGTCATTATATACCATGTTCAACTATTGAACTCTTTCTAAGCAGTGTCTTTTACCAGGTTTACTAATCCAAAACATTGCCCATTAACAGGAATATTAATAAAATCAGTAATAATACTTCTTCAACCTTCTTGCAAATACTGCCAGATTCTACTGGTAACAGATGGGTTTACGATAAGTTATTGATGATATCATGGCATTGTTGATTTGTTTCAGATTTGTCAAAATGAGACTGTTCACRAGAGAATAGAAATGTCTATAATAAATATGTGCAAAAATAAAAGAGAAATACCTGAAGGAGTAGCTGTGAATGGCTATAGAACTCTTTTAATAGTGCTCCAATGCAATATTTTCTATATTGGGCAGCATTCAATATCTTTATTATCATCTACAATGATGAAATAGATAGGATAGATACTAAATTAACCAGTTGCCCCAAAGTGGGTAAAGTTGAAGGCCTTGAGCAGAAGTATTAGAGTTCAGAATGATCATTAGAATTGAAGGTATGATCTATGAAAAACAGCTCCTATAAATCAATAAGGACCTACTGTAATTAGTGTTCTGAGATAGTGATCTATCTCAAGTTTCCAGACTTTTGTTGGGTCATGTAGGAAATGTTACTGAGCTATTTGTCCTGCCCATGCCACTCCTCTACCATAAATGCTTACCACTGTTCATTGTGGTAACAGTAAATACCACATTTTCATGTCTTTAATCTTATTCTTAAGAAAGCTCACACATTTCTAAGAGTACTAACAGCTGAAAATAAGATACCAACATTTCCTATCTTCACATAATCCTGAAGCTATAACCCTTCCTCCTTCGTCATGCATATAAATCTATACCTGTCTGTTCTGTAGAAAGCTCTGTAACTTTGCTGCAGGGATACATTACTGTGAATTAAGGAGGGTTTTGACAGCCTGCAAGCTATACATCTGGGAAAAATGGAATAAGACATAAGATATGACTTAAGGGGAATAAATGAGCATAAGGATATTTATGGAAGAGCAACTAAGAATAAAGCCCTGGGGCAGTAAATGTAGAAGATCTCTTGCGGCCCTTCTGGGCTTTTCTGTGATTCAATATGATGATTCATAGGAAAGCACAATCTATTTTAAAAGTCTCCAAGTTTATGGACACATGATCTTAACTAAATATAGCTCAGTTGTGCMAATGATATCAGCAAAATCACTTGTATCTGCAAATGAATATATGGAAGTATGCTTTAATTAAAAGCTATGTGTCTTTAAATAGTGCAGTGAGTTATAAGGCCAAAATTCTACTTCTCAGAAAAAAAAAAAAGAAAAATTGGCATAAATTCCTAGACTTTCAAATGTCAGATAAATCTTGTGGGCATAGTGAAAACTGTAACCAAAAAAGAAGGAATCCCTCACAGAGAAGTCTAAACATAGACTTTCAAATTAAGTGATGATCAGTCTGGGCCTCAAATTTGCAATCTATAGATGATGTACGGTATACTAAATAGCAGAAGGAGGTCAGCTATAACAGGATTGCTTCCAACCCATTTAAAGCACATTTATGTTTGAGAGATAAGAACCAGGTATTATGCAAAGATGTGCAGCTTCTTAGGGATCTCATAGAAGCATTGTATCCAAGGGAATCAAAATCTCTTTATACAGACTTTGCAATAAATATTTGACAAAATAGCAGAACTAGAGAAAGGCTTAAGAAAATTAAACTAATACTTTTTCAGAACCTTCCCCAAATTAAATTTAACCAAAACTGTAACAGATATCCAAATTAAAATAAAAGCTTTATTATGGTGYAATTTTTAGCTAAAATTGCAAAACAAGGTGAAAAATAGGGAGTCATTTTTTTAATTAAGATTTGCAATTGTTATCTTTGTTACATAATTTTTACATTTGAAGATTCAGACTGACTTTCAACTTTAAGGTTTTTTTTCAACTATATTGAAAAGTTCCTKGTCATTGTAAAGGTATTTTAATGCAATATAAAATGTGCTCACAAGAATGTGTCTGCAGCCTGTATGTAACTGATTTATACTACAGAGTAGTAGTAAAAGTAAGGGATCGGATTAGCTTTTGGTTTCAGTCTTGTGCTGCAGCAAAGCATTGCAGTCTGAAGAAATAATGGCTGAATTTAGGGGTTAAAACCTGCAGTGAATGGTTTTAAAGATATCACATATGTTACACATCTGTTACAGGAGTACAAGGGGATTTCTTTTGATGGTATTAGCCTTAGTTCCACAGAGAACATTAATGTGTGTTGCAGTCTATACAAAAATTTAAAAATGAACAAATTGTAAACCATGGTTTCACAGCACTAGTGAAAAAAAAAATAGAAATCACAGGGCATTTGTATTATAGTCGAAGAATACATAGAAGATAKATTAACTCTAACAGTCCGAACATTCCAGAGCATGGACAACAGAGTAGATCCCAGAAGGGGAAGGAGGCATCAGTGTGTTAAGGAAGTATKAAAAGAAACCTCTCATTCAATAAAATGGTCAAAATACAAAACAAATATCTCTGTGAAGGGAACAGTATGATCATGTAGACCTGAAATAAAAAACTAAAACTCCATAAACACAAAGAGTTTTCTTCTTTTCTGAAGCATAGGAGTTCTTCAGAAACATTTTTACTGTATCCTAGATTAAAGGCAATATTGAAGTTTTCCAGTAAGTCTAGGAAAGAAGAACTAAATAAAGCATTTTGTATTACACTTGTTTTGAAAACCTCTTTAGCCATGGTTTTAAATAGAAATAATTGAAATATTTTTAACACAAGGGTCAGTATTAAGCAATGAGGGAGATTATCACAGTGCCATAGCTTAACTGAGGCAGTACCTTGCTGCTTACTTCTTGTAAGGCCTTTTAGCATATGTTTTATTTATACTGTGTACAAGCAATTGGTTTGAAGGCTGCAAGTATTTGAAGTGTTTGAAGTGTTTGAAGTGTTTTCTGTGGCTGCTATTTTTTATTTTAAGTCTGCTTTTAATTTCAATTCCATGAGTTAGTCTGTTTTCTTAAGAAATATAACTACATAATATCTTAACCATAGCAATATTTAAACAACAGACCATCTGATTATCTGAAGTTGTTGAATATATCACAGACCAATTATACCTACATGATGTGTGTTTTTTCCAAGTTATTTTGAAGATGAATGTGCAGAGGACTGCTCTGCTTGCTTTTCATCTGTTGCTGGATGGTCTGACTGGATTTCAGTTGATCTCTTCTGACACTGCCCAAGTCTGTTCATATAATTCAACTTTGTCAGGTAGACAGATTATCCCAAAAGTACAGATTACTC